TAACAAGCTTGATCGTTCTACCATGTTAAGACGAAAGTATAAACAAACCTACTTGGTTGTTGACCCATTCAATATGAGTTGACTCAGAGATGCGAGGTGAAGCTGCCGACTTGCCTTGTTCCTGAGTAGTATGGGTGCAAAGGTCTTGTTCCCAATAAGGGAAGGGAAGGGAAGGGAAGGCCAAATCTGATTACCCGAACCGGTAACCCCACTGACCCGACCCGCGCCGCGTCCTTGAGCTTACTGTACGTACAATACATTGTACATGTACTTTCTTTTCCTCATCTTCTTTTCTCTCCGACTTCATTCCTCCTCGGACTCTTATTCTCACTTGGTGGGCTATGGGCAAGAGCACCGCCTCAAAATGTTTCAGGCGGAGACTGTATCCCCGCTATCCCGCACCTTACTGCGACTGCAACCCTGCAATGAACGACTCATAAGGCAACGAACAGTCATGGAAGGCAACGTCCACCGCATCTGTAGTTCGCAAGCATGCATGGTGGCAATCATGCCAATACTCCCTAACGCAGCGGAGACGCAATAGAGCGCTTCCGATGTCTTACGAAAGCTATTCTTGGAGGAAGTGATCCGATCCGACCTCCAACGGAGCCGGCATCCCTTACATGCCCATGACCATGATTGTCCTCTACCCCAGTTCCTGCACATTTTCTGCATCTGACTAGGGCAAATGGCCGGTTTATTGGCACGCAAGAGAAGATCGCCAGCGGTCAGCCGCTGAGCCTCGAGCACTGATAGGGTCACGAGCCCTTGCAGGCTGACTCGAGCGCCAAGCGGTAACTTATTTGTATCGATGCAGGCGAAGCGCCTTTCGACATGTGTGGTTCTCGCGACCAGGAACCCCACAAGATACATTCAGCCTTATGGCCTACTCTTCTGACTGACTGACCAGAGAATGACTCAGGTTAGCTTACTTGACATGACCAAGGGCTTCACTGCCTTGTGGCTTGGGATATGACCCATCTAGTCTGCCAGATCAGGCGCGCTCTCAGGCTCGATATATTAGACACCGCCCTGAGTGATACTTTGCATCTAATACAGATTATTCGTGCTTGGAGTACAACCCACACTGCTGCAACCCATCTCTTCCAAGTTCATCCTCAAGAGTCACCTCGCATCCAAGATGAGCTCCGACTCACAATCCAAAATCTCTTCAGTACTTCAGCGAGTCGCCAAGGTGGCTCATACATGGAAACGGGATTCAACCATGTTGCAATTCTTGATATCCTTTCTGGCGAAGCCTTCGCCTGCAGTACAGATAGCAAATGAACGCGAACATACTGTCTGGCTGTTCGACAACACAGCGTACCAGGCACCGATGTCTGGTTCAACCGATCTCAACCTATGGCGGGCAGAAGTTGTCGCTTGTGTGTTCCAGAGAGACAGCAGGAAGGACCTAAGTAAACTCGTGGCCATGGTTGCAGATCTCATCGGACTGGACGGGGAAATTGGCACAGATAAGGAGACTCGTCATCGAATAGCGGAGCGACTCCAGCCATTTCTACATCACACAACACCTGCGCACCTGATAATGTTGGAGACATCCTTGCCCAGCAATGCGATTCAGATTCATCAGATTGGGCCTACGGATGATAGCGGCATTATTAGCCAAACGGTGGGAGTCAACAGTCGCCACATTACAGACGGGACGAGACTACGCTCGTACCTTCGTGGCTGGGCAAGCGAGGTGACGATGAGCACGACCTACGCCAGTGCGGAGGGTTGGCTTGTCATTTCCGACATTGACGATACCATCAAGTACACCAAGACCTCCGAGTCAACCGGTATCCTTCGCACAACTTTCGTGGAAGAACCCAAGCCGATCGTTGGAATGCCTCAGCTTTATGCTAGGCTTCAACAAGACCTTGCGCCTACATGGTTTTACCTTTCTGCTTCTCCATACAACCTGTATCCGTTCTTGCATGGCTTCATTCATACCTATTTCAATCCGGGAACCCTGATCCTCCGCGATACATCCTGGCTAGATGTGAGCGAGCTGGTTAAATCGTTCACTGTCAACACTATGGAATACAAGGTGGATCGTGCAGAGAAGATTCATGGCTGGTTCCCGCAGCGAAAGGTGCTTTGCATTGGCGACTCGACCCAGAAGGATCCAGAAGCCTATGCTGAACTTTACAAGAGACATCCGGATTGGATTCAGGCAATCTGGATCAGAAAGGTCACCGATGTCCCTCATTTGGACGAGCAGAATTCGCCGAAGAGATTTAAAGCTGCATTTGACGGTGTGCCCGGCGATAAATGGAAGGTTTTCGAAGATCCTGCGGAAATAGAGCACCTTGTGGATTAGCTGGGAATAAGCCATAAAATGCTCAGGCCTCTCAAGGAAATCTCAGCCGTTGTTGGATGATCGAGCAATTCAGTGACGTCGAATGAACCTCGAGATCGATGTTGACCCATCACAAAAGGTTGCTGATATAAGCGTGTTTATACTCGGGGTTACGTCAATGGTAGGATGTCACCCAAACGTCAAAGCCCGCGCTTGTGGCTGCAGCGGTCCATCCTTAAAATCTGCGAGCGGAACAACCCCGCTTTACGCATTGTCATTCGGCGGTTCCACGGAATAGTTTTGCTCCTCAATCTCTTATATCCTGTTGGCTTACTGCTTGCCTTGGGGCCTTATTGAGCATATTTCGCCGCTGCATCACATCATAACTTTCCAACCCGGCTGTTACAGTTGAGCCAGAGAACCGCAAATCGACCACAATGAATGAGCAAACAACCGTGCCATCTACAATGAGAGCTCTATACTATCGACCAGCGTCAACGGCTATCACCGACCTCACCTCTCTAGATGCTCCAAGGGTGGACTCTTGCATCGAGTTCGATTCTGGATTCCAGACGCCAATGCCATCTGGGAATGAATACCTTATCAAGGTTAAAACCGCAGCTTTCTGCCACGATGAACTACGACTAGCTACCATCTTGAACCCGTCTAAATCCATTCCTCAGATTCCTCTACATTGCTTCTGTGGTACAGTTGTTGATACGCCCAAGCATGACCACCGGAATCCAGGCGGTCCGAAATTCAAGGTCGGCGACGTCGTGTTTGGCCTGGTCAACTACACCCGTGACGGTGCTGCGGCAGACTACGTCGTCGCTTCAGAGGATGAGATCGCGCTGAAACCCAACAATATCAGTGCTGCGGAGGCAGCCGCAATTCCTCTGCCGGCACTCACAGCTTGGCAGTCTCTCTTCACGTACGCCGGGTTCGTTCCCGAGGATGTCAAGGAAATGAAACAGCAATTACGGGTCCTGGTTACGAACTCGCGGAATAGCGAAGTTGGTGCACAGGCACTGCAGCTACTCCGGTCCCGGACACTGTTCCCCAACCAACTACCTTGGGTCTGTGCAACGTGTGATGCCGAAGACCAGGATGACTACTTGCGACAAGAGCATGAGATCGACGAGATCCTCTACGCTCCTCTTCCTTTGCCTCAAGAATATGACCTAGGGGCCATCTTCCGCCAGAATCGCTGGGCCCCGGTCGACCTCGTCATCGACTGTGCCGGCCGCCAAATGTTCCAACAAGCCCACTCTCCGCGCGTAGTCAAGTCCAACGGTGTCGTAGTGACTGCGGTGGACTCCACACCTGCGCAGAACCGGGATTCCGATGGAAACGCCGAACCGCCCCGGAACGGGGTCCTCAGCCGCTTCGTTGCGGTGCGGCCGGATGGAGAGGCGCTGGCGCGCATCGCTCAGCTAGTGGAGAGTGATGTGATCCGAGGCCGCGTGGAAAGCATCCACGATATTGAAAGAGGAGCCGGCATGCTGGCTTCGGGAGCGGCCGGTGCCGGCGGTGGACGACGAGGCGGCATGATGGTCATTCATGTCAATTGATTTTGAATCCTTCCATCTCGTTTGATATGCCCTTATGATCTCTTTTGATTAGCCTTGTATTTTAACTCCCTTCGTTGCAGCCTTGATTTCATTTGTCTCTTCTTGACTTAGAGGTTGTTCATCTGTATTATAGCACTATACATCCATGATAAAGCTTTAGACTTGGTCCTGCCACAGGTGTTTACATCGCGATCACCGGTTGGACTTGACCGCTCGCCTCACTTCGTAGGAGCAACCAACCCAGGATGATCACTCAATCATAGACCCCAGTACCTCGCACGACTAGAACCCAAATCTAAGGTACCTGACCAAGTACATCTCGGAGGTTTCGCAATGGGGGAACGTATGCTGGCATTGGAAGGCACGAGCGAGTTGATACTTGATTCTCTTACAAAGATAATTAATTCCTGGCACTTTGACTTTGTGCGAAGTCAACAGGCACCGAAAGGGTGTCAAAGACTAGGTGTACACTGTATCGTTGTACAGTACAACACATACATCAAAGTGCTCTGCTGCGCAAGCCTTCGGTGCGGTGCGGTGCGGTGCGGTACCTACGCACAGGAAAGACAGTTGGATTCGAAACTGCACATGATTCCGCTACCTATCCCGTGGGATTATCAAACGGTAATCTAGCGGAGCCGAGGCTGTGTCACCAACGAGGTGGAAGTTGGAAAGAAAAACAATGGCGCTGAAACAGAAAGGGGGGAAAAAAAAAAAGTCATGGGACTCGATTGTTCGACCATAGTACGTGATAAAAAGAAGAATCATTTTCAAGGAAGAAATCGAATCAGTAAAGAAGTATCTCGTACAAACAAGGTTCAATGCAATCGGGTTCAGTCACCGCTTCGCAGCACGGTAGGTTCGACACAAAAGGTCATATCACTCTGCGACAGATCCAACCCCGGGACGCCGGTAATAGTACTGCCAAAACCGTGAATAAGAAGGCAAGGAAGAAAAATGGTCAAGATCCCTAAAGCGGAGGCAATGGTGGTGTGCTTTTCTCGTTCTCGGAGAGAGAAAGACGAGGATGTTGATAGTAGTAGACGACAATGGAAATGAAATAGAGCTTTGGGGGAGGGAGGCTATAGCAGAAGAGGACGGAAAATGAGAATAAGAAAAGCCTGTTACAGTAGTGAATCAAGTCTAGTGAAAACGCTCAAACATGCTGCCACAATCTGTGTCGAGGAAGTCAGCTATCGGAGCGGTTTCAAAGTCAATGAGCGGCAGTACGTACCTCCAACTGGAGCTCTTTGTCCTTAGCCTTGTTCACCTCGTCATTAATGGCCTGCGCCAGGTTGGCTCCGATGGCTTGCGAGCCACCTGCCCTCCGGCCGAACGGCCACTGCGAGTACTCGGCCAACAACTCATCCACCTGCGCGAATGCCCGTTCTCGAGCCTCGTGGCTCATTGTGACCAGCGCATTCTCCAGAACATTGGCTGCATAAGCGGCGCATACCATGGTGATCGTCCGCAGGTACCGGAACTCAGCGTCCTCGGGGAGCCAGGTGTTGCCGGGAAGGATGACGGTGCGACTGCTGCAGATGTTGCGGACACGGCGGTGGAGGTCGTCCTTGGCGCCGCCGTCAGCCACGGGGTGTGTAGCCATATCAAAGAGGAGGAAGTTGCGCTTCTCGGTCCGGAGAATGCCCTTGTCGACCAGGCCCTTGGCAAGACGTTCGCGCACTTGCTTCAGCTGGTAGCCAATCTTCATCAAGTTCCATGTTTCACCTGGTCCCAACAGATCAGTCCGACGATGTCAACCCAGAAATAACAAATAACTCCGTTGTACGCACCGCTCAGTAGATCGATCCAGGAGTTGACACTCATCTTCTCGCTCGACTTCATTATTTTCAACGCCTCGTCCAGCAAGACCTCGCCCGTCAGCGTATCATCAATCACCTCGATCACCCGATCGGCCAAGGGGAAACGTCGTCGAGAGGAATCCTTCTGCATGCTGATGCGACCGCGGAGGGCCAGTTCGATCACGATGCACCCTCGCAGGGCGTAGGAGATGTTCTCATTCCAGAACGACAGATAGCCCTACAATATAGCAACCAGGCCGCGGTCAGCAATTGAGACATCGCTCGATTTGCCCCACAAAACAAAGGCCGAGATAAGGATCACAAGGGGAAAGTGCCCAACCTGTTTATCTTTCAATCCCAGTAGAAGTACCTCTTCCATCAGGGTGAGCTTGGGCTGTTTGCTGCGCTCCTCCGTTTCGCTGATGTCTCGGGGGTCGAACGCGATCTTATGGCCATTTTCGGCGCTGGTGAATGACGTTTCGGGGACGCGGTTGTCCAGCGAAGAACCGTTTCTCGATATGGGCGAAGAGACTCTGCTGTCATCATTGTCTTCTGCGCCAGCGACTCGACCGCCACCTCTCCGGCGAGTCAAGCCCCCGGCTGAGGCCATGAGGATTTATCGAGCGGTGCGTTTGGGGGAGGGTGGGGGGGAGGTGGACGTGGTGAGTTTGGCGGGAGCGGGGAGGGTGAGAGATCAGAGGATCGAGGGCGAATGAAGGGACGGGCGTTGGATCGTATCGTGTCTGAAAGGTGCACACGCCAGGAATGAGGTCTATGCCGGTATCGCCTGCGACATGAACCGATTGATTGTGTGTATATTGAGTCTGGCCCCTTTGGGAGGATTGGGGGGGGGGGAGGGGGAAAGGAATTGTAGAGAATCGGAATAATCCAAAAGGGAAGAAGAAGCCGAGATGAAAGACGGGATTAACTATGGGTTAACCAACTTAGGCGGGAAATGATCCCAGGGGGGGGGGAGGGGGAAAGAGAAGGGTGGAGTGGAGTGGAGTGAGTGAGTGAGTGAGTGAGTGAGTGAGTGGAAGAGAAGATCGGACAGAGCAGCGAGAGGTGCAAATGGCCGAATAAAGGAGTCAATCGGCCAAGAGCCGAAAAGCACCACTCAACAATCACCTTGGTTGGAGATGGAATATTTCCCAGCAATGCGAGAAGAGAACAAGAGAAAGGAAAGAGAGACAACTTGGAGAATTCTCTTAATTTGGCGGTCGCTAACTTCAGCAGAACTACTCTCCTAATCTAAAAGACTATCTGGCGCTTCGTCGCGGCTGCTTTTAGTGTTGTTAGTGTTGCTCCTCCGGGGACGGAATTGCCCGCGACGCTTTTGACAGCCGGCCTGGCCTGCCTTCACTTCCTGAACAATGACCCTGGCACTTATAGACAATCAATTGATCATACCACACATTGCAACTTGAGATAAATGGCTTGCACAGTTATGAAATCTGCCTTGCGAAGACAACTAGCACGCCGACCGCATCGGTCTCCTTCCACATTCTCCATGTCGGCCCCCGTCACTCCACGTCATCTCCCTCGGATCGCATCATGTCAGATTAAAATTACCTTTCAAGATGGAGATGACTCTAATTTGTCTCGTCCTCGATTTTCTATAGCTCTCAATGGTTTCGTTCATCATATACAGCTTTGTCTGTCTCAATGACGGCTTTTCGTTCTACCCAAGGTCAAGGGCGAGCCGCAGATCATTTACACGCGCTACGCAACGAAGCCCCAACAAAATATCATATCGGTCAGAACGGCATTCCCAAAGGTGATATACACGATATAGTAGAGTTTGAAAGAGCACAGGCATGTATCAGCACACAGGGTAGCATCCCCAGCTACCCGGAGTCTCCGCAGTGGCGAATTTCCTGTAGATGCACGCCATCATCCCCTTTCGATTTCTTCTATTCTAATCCTCCAACAACTTCCCGGTTCCTCATTACGCGGGTATTTAGTGAGCTGCAGACATGTTAGTCGCAAGCTCGGAGATAATGGGATTGAAGGAGAAGAGGGGCAACTCACCATCGGGCTGGGCAAGGATGTACTCAACAGCCTTGTCGACTGTAGCGGAAGGCGATCAGTTCTCGATTCCGGTCAATTCTCTTCGATTCTTGTAGTGACTTACCGCTGTGGATGGAGTCGGCCTCCTTGTCGGGGATCTCAATGCTGAACTCCTGCAGGCATGTCAGTAAGCGCGCGATCACGGCAAACCAAATGCGGCAGCCGTACCTCCTCGATGGCCATGACGACCTCAACAGTATCCAAGCTGTCCAGACCGAGATCGTTCGTGAAGTGAGAAGCGGCGTTGATCTATCGAGTATATATGGTTAAAACATGAACCCTTTACCGAGGGATTTTCGCCCGAAGCCGGAGCCCAGCGGGTATCGACTCGAATCACTAACCTTGCTGGCGTCGGAAACCTAAGGCGCATTGAATCAAGATACGTCAGTTCATGCTATTTTGATAATTCTCGGCGATGCGAGACAACACGCTGATGGACCTTCATCCGCAGCCCTGGAATGTGACTTGACGCACCTTGTCGAAGTTCTTCAACAGGTTGACAATGCGGCCCTCGACCTCCTCCTTGTTGAGACCGGCAGGAGCGGAGTAGAGACGGACACCCTGGTAGGCGAAGCGAGGAGCGAATTGGGCCGGGCGAGCGACAGCAGAGCTACGGATCTGGAAGGGAGCCGCAGTCTTGACGGCACGAGGGACAGAGGCCCGGAGGGAGCGGACGACAGCGGCGCGGAACATGATGAATTATGTGAGGGGTACCCGAGTGCGAGAAATTAAGAGAGGAGAAGAAGTGTGGGGGGTGGGGAGGGAGAATGGAGAAGAGGTTGTTTGAAAGTGATAGAATAGCAGATGGGAGTGAACTCTGGGCTGGGTTGAGATGGAGACTCTGAATAAGTCGATGGTTTCTGTTGCGGCTCGGAGCAGCAAAATCCTGCCGCCGGCCAATCAACGGGAAGGAGAAAGCCATGACCTAAGCCCAATTCATTTTGGAAGAGTGCAAACTGAACCAAAACCGACTGACTGGAACTTGCTGCCAGGAAGGCACGGTGACCACCTGCACTGCATCAATCCATTTGAACTTCCCTTTAATTGACCTCCTCCTCTCCCCTCCCCCTCATCCTACCCCCAGGCTAATTCCACTTGCCATGGCCTCCACCAAGTCTGTCGCCAGGCTTCTGGCCTATTCCCGTCCATCGCCTTTCGCTCTCCGTCCTACCCCCATCGGCTCCATCGCAAACTTCTCCTCCTCAGTTGCCCGCGCAGCTACGCCAGCTGGTCCTCCCCAACCGGGCTTCCGCTTGCCTCCTCCGCAGAAATGGGACCAGTCCTCTGAGTCCGCCCTCGACAAGGCCACCAAGTACTTCCTCATGGCCGAGCTGATGCGCGGCATGTACGTCGTGCTGGAGCAGTTCTTCAGACCTCCGTAGGTGCCACCCTGCCTTCGCAAGCTTCCCGCTAGCCCGAACCTCGACGGTGGGCCACTCAAGCCCGATCATATCCTCCCATTACACACCTACTCGCCGTCAATTGAGCTTTGGCTCCTCTCTCTGCGGGAGCTCCCCCTCGTGGACCCGAACCATCCGCTAACGCGAAGAGCCCTCGACAGTTACACCATCATGTACCCTTTCGAAAAGGGCCCCATCTCCCCTCGTTTCCGTGGTGAGCACGCCCTGCGTCGCTACCCCACCGGTGAAGAGCGCTGCATTGCCTGCAAGCTCTGCGAGGCCATCTGCCCGGCCCAGGCCATCACCATCGAAGCCGAGGAGCGTGAGGACGGAAGCCGTCGGACGACCCGTTATGATATCGATATGACCAAGTGCATCTACTGTGGCTACTGCCAGGAGAGTTGCCCCGTGGACGCTATCGTTGAAAGTGAGTTGCCCTTCTCCAGTCGCCCCTGGACCTATCCGTTGGGACGCGTGACTGACCGACCCTCACTTGTAGCCTCCAACGCTGAATACGCCACTGAGACCCGTGAGGAGCTGCTGTACAACAAGGAGAAGCTCCTGGCCAATGGTGACAAGTGGGAGCCTGAGATTGCCGCTGCCGCCAGAGCCGATGCTCCTTACCGTTAAGTCGCTTTTGTGTTAGAAGACGATTTTCAGCCAGCATCTTCCGACTTGAGGAGTGGAATCTTGACAAGAGTATCCGCTCCCATCTGTCGGTATGCTGGGGAGGTTTAAGCACTAAGAAGAAAAGGGAATGTTTTTTTCAATTTATCGAGAAAGTGGAAGAGTAGGGTGGTGGTCTCTCATCCCGTCGAGTTGACTCGGCCGCTCTAGCCTTCTATTACCCACCTTGTACATAAACTAACGCTCGCAACCCTACCCCAACCCGATTTCTCATCTATATTTGTCGGGCTCACTCCCAGAGGGGTGTCCTCTGCAGTTGCCCGGGAATATCCGGCTCTGGTACTTCTCTGGTCTTGTCTGCTATTGTGTGTCTTGTTCGATCGTCGAAGGATATCTATCTTTTTCTGCATGTCTCGACTATATGTGTCTGTTTACCTACACTGCTGTTTCCGGTTCTTTTTCCTAGGGATTTCCAAATGAAAGAAGTATTCTTTTTCCCCTTTGTTCTAGAACGGAAGAAGAAACCATACAGAAGAGAATCAGTCATTCCTAAATGGGACACCAGATTGTATCAAATTCGTATCAACAAATGTGTTTCGAATGAAGTAGAAACGCTGCCTATGCACATATGCACATAACTTTGAGAGGACAAGAATGAACAAAGAAATAAGTAAAGAAAAAAGAAATCCCCCCAGAGTTTAAAATGTTAAGAACTCCCCGAACACCATATCTCCAAATGATGGCCCGCACTCAACAACACAACCCATTCCCTTTTTTTTAAAGAAAAAAAACTTTTTTTCGCAAGAAAAGCACACACATCTGCTTTTGTCTCTCTTTTTTGATTTTTGTTGATGATGATGATGATGATGATGATTCGTCCTTGTCCCTCCCGTCTCCTGTTTGTGTTCGAGATATCGAAGGTGGTGGTGGCGGGTGGGATTGAAGGAGTAGGTAAGGTATCGTAGTGGTGGTGATGGGTAGGGCAGGGTGGAAGGTAGATGATATTACATACTTGGGAAGGAACGACGACGACGGATCACCAGGGAGATTATCACCGCTCAATCAGGGTATGGAGGATAGAAATGAGGGAGGAAGAGAGAGGGAAACGGAAATGGTAAGAAGATGCAGTGGGAGAGGTCGGAGAAGGAAGGAAGGAAGGACAAAGGCGAAGGACTATTTTAGGTCCTGGTCACTTATTTCTTCTTCCCACCGCCACCAGCCTTAGCCTTGAAGCTACCTTCGAAGCCCGGTCTGGCCTTCTTCTTGCCTCCGCCGGCGGCGGGCTTCTTCTTGCCCTTGTTGCCTCCCTTCTCCTCGCGGCGCTTGCGGAGATTCTCCTCGCGCTTCTGCTGGCGCACGTCCTTGCCGTGCTTGACGGCGTCGACACGCTCCCTCCACTCACGTTCGGACTTCTTCTTGGCCGTCTCCTTGCGCTTGAGGGCCTTCTTCAGCAGCGAAGTATCGTCGCGAACCCGCTCGCCGTGGGCACGCTTCTTCGCGTTCAGCCACATGTCCTTCTCCTCGATGTCGGCCCGCCGCTCATCGTCCATGGAGGCCAGCCGGGCCTTCTTGGCTTCGACAGCCTTGAGGGCGGCGGCCGGGTCGTGATGAGCACCCTGCCGCTTGGGCTGATCGCGGACGTTCTGGAGCGTGGGGTCAGCGTGCTGGCCGTCGCCGAAGACGACCCTACCGAAGGAGTAGTTGGCATTGCTGGAAGAGCCAACCGAGTCGGCAGGGGAGCGCGGAGAGGCAAGAAGGGAGCCGGATCCGCCGGGAGAGAAGCGGCGGGCCATGGCCTCGTCCTTCAGCCGCTGTTCCTCCTCGCGAGCCTTCTGACGCAGCTCCTTCTTGTGCGCTTTGCGCTGCTCGGCTTTTTGTCGGCGCGCTTCAATAAGCTCTTGGCGGTTGCGGGCGGGCTTGCCATTCAATCCATCGGCGTGACGAGCAGCCCGGAGCTCGTCCAAGCGCTTCTGAAGCCGCTGCTTCAACTGTTCGGAAGTGGCCTTGAGGGGCTTGAGGTCGTTGGAGGTGGAGGACTTGGGGGCATCGGTCGAGGGGGCGACGGAGGAGATGGAAGAGCTGCCGGACTGGGGATTGGACGCATCAAAGCCAGAGGAATTGGGGGTCGACGAAGAAGAGGATTCGGGTTCTTCGTTAAACTCGAGTGAGAGCCCCTCTTCGGGAACAACGCCCTCGGCAGCGTCGCTCTCATCGCTGTCCTCAGCCTCCACTTCGTTGTCATCATTTTTGCTGGCAGGGGTGGACTCTGGTTCATGCGCAACTTCAGTGGTAGATGTTTGGTCCTGCTTGGATTTTTGCTCGACCTCCTTCGCTTTCCTAGCAGCGTCCTTGGCCTTCTTCTTCTCTTTTTGGTTGACCTTCTTCTGTGCCTTCTTCTCTTCCTTCAACTTTCTGCGCGCTTCGGCGGCCTCGTTCGACTTGGCCTGGGCATCCGGGTTTGCCGAGTCCTCGGCCTGTTTTTGCTTCTTGGACTTTGCGTCACCACGTTTCAGACCTTCTCTGGGCTGCTCGGAGCCAAGTTCTCCGTCCTCGGACGAGGCGTCTTCTCCAGCTTTCTCTTCGTTCCGCTTGCGCTTACGGGCGTTTTCGTCCATCACATCCTTGGCCGTCTTGACATTATCGGGGTCTAATTTGGCCCGCTTGGCTTCGCGAGCTTGCTCCTTGGTCTGCTTTTTCCGCTGCCATTGGTCCTGATCCAGGGGTTGCGGTCAGCCACGTCCTGAGCAGCGGCTGGATGGTGGTGGGGGGATGGGACAAGGGAGAAGAGAGTAGGACAGGAGGGGTTTTTGCTTGGAGCAGAAAAGGAGAAACCAAGGTGAGAACGTACACTGCCATCTTCACCATAGTAATTCTTTGCCGGGATTAGCGACAACAGACCATCGAAGGCCTGGGCGTGGTCTCGCAACCGTTCCTGATGAGAAGAAAAAAAAATGTCAATCTCGCAATCAGGCACGCAGCAGAGCAGTGCTGTGCACGGGGCAACACACCTCGATGTCATCCATTTCTGCAAAGACAAAAAAAACCAGCAGGCTGTCCAAGAACACAAAGAACTTGAGAAGCAAACACCAGCGCTGAAACTGGGGGTTAATGGGTCTAATGGGCAACGCTCGGGGTCGAGGTAACGAAAGCCGCGATACCATGAAAAAATTGGGTGGGCAGGTTGAAATCTTGGCATTGCTGGTTCTCCGCTCGGCTGTTCACCGCCTTCACCGCCTGCGCACACAAGATAATTGCTCATGTATTCCAGTCGGGTCGGTCGGCCTTATCACCGGCAACTGGTAAGTCCGGGATGTCACTGGAAGTATGGACCACGTGCCCTTGACTATACACCCACTATCACTACGGGCAGGAAATATGATCTGGACTTGAATGTGGCCAGATCCGCACTGTGAAACTATACAGCATTCAATCCAAATCCAATGAATAACAGCAGATGCAGAATCAACCCATAGACTGCGATCCTTAACGGTTTCTGTAGTATATTTCAGTTCTGTCATCTCTGTAAACCTATTACTCTGGTGTTACGCTGTGATACATCTCGAATCTACATCATGAATATATATCCATCCCGCAATGTGCCTAGTATCAAGCAACAGGAGCCACCTACCTCGACACTACCAACCTCTAAAGCTCCAAGAATTCCGAGTCAGATCTCTCATCATCTAAACCAACACAATTCTCACTCTCAATCGAGGTAATGTTGTCAAATGGCCAAGGAATCGTCCAAATCAAATCGAACCTAGTCGAACACTCAATATATCAGCCACCCACACCAGGAATCCACGAGGCGCAACTAGTTTTTACATTCTAGTGCACGAGGGAGAGTAACTCACCGCTCTTCAGGATAAACGGGTGGGTCATCCGAGCCCAAGGCGCGGGCGATATTCGCCATCTTTCCATGCCGCCATGAGATCAGGATATTGCCGGGCCCCCGGTAGTGACGGATCTTCCGCGCCACGCACTTCGCGTCATTGCGCTTACAGGAGGTGTCGATCGGCAGGGAGAGGTCGTGGGCGAGCGGGAGGACGGTTTCGTAGGAGCGGCGGTGTTGGCCGACTATACCGTATCAGGGTCAATGCTTCGCGACCAAAAGGGAATCTAAAAGAGGAAGGAGGGGGGGGCGCTGGCTGGAGTTTCTTACGGGAATTAATGTGTGGTGCCATTAGATATCCTATATCATTTGGTGAGTCGGCGCCGAAGACGGAACGAAGACATTCTGCGCGCTTGAAGCCGTCGGCGTTGAGACCACTGTCGCTGGGATCCGGGGGCTTCTCCCCATGGCGGATCAGGTAGACGGTTGGTTTCGTCGGTTGGGAGGGTGGAATGGAGGCACTCAGGGTCAGAGTGGATGCGGTGAGAAGGTATAGGATATTGACAAGCTGAGAGGCGATCATCCTGATACTGTATATATGGTATGAGGGTTGGTAGCGGTGATCACAGCTATCGCCGGGTCATTTCTAGTGCTTTATATCTCAAATCTATGATGTCTTCTCATCGAGGGAGAGGGTATGTCCGCTTGCGCATCGCGACGCTCAGGAGAGTCGTCAGGGCTTTCGGGATATATGTACATCGGCCGAGGATTTCAACCAGGCGAGGGAGGGTACGCGTGGAGATTTAAATATGGAGTAGGCAAGCAAGCTGAGGGTTGGTCGATCATAAAACACACTATCGATCGACGCACTGCAGATTTGGGGGGGGGGCAGCAGGGCAGCAGGCGACCAGGCGGCTGCATACGCAAGATGGCTGCTGAACCTATTGTTTGCTGCTATGAGCGAATTTCGCGACCAGTGGACTGTGGAAATTATCTGAATAGAGATAACAAGTCCACTGAGATGGGCCCTCTCGATCTCGTGCAACATGGAAGCTTTGACTTTAATTGGGACATCCGATCGGTCAGGCGACGATCCATGGAGCCCAGCTGAGGGTTTCTCCGGGCACAGAATTCATAACCTTAAAACAGGTCGATCTGCGGTGAGTGGTGTGGCCTCCCCAGTCAGAGTCAGATGATGTGAGCTGACCTGCTGTTTTGATGCTGCTTGTTTTCCGAGCCATGAGTGAGGACCGTGGGGGTTTTTTTTGTCACGGAACTTTGTAGGAGGCTGGAATGTGGATACGCTATAGCAGTTATCTTCAGTCGGGGGGATATGCTTTGGAAGGAAAGCTTGATGAGCAGGATCTTGCAACATGGCTATCAAGAAGTCCATTACCCTTGCATTTTGCTTTGTACTTTGCCTTGCACTGCTGACTGGTGATATCTGTGGAGATTGAGCATGTCGCTTGTTGTATGCCGCATGCAAGGTAGGATTGAGGCGGCATCGAGGGGCTGCGGATCTACTTATACCTGCCGTAGGTTTGTGTGTACAGCACAGGTAGGTGCTCGTAAAGTTGCCGTGCGCTCTCCCCGCGCTCCGCGAACAGATGTTCAGGCAGACTCCCTGCTGCTCTGCATGAGCCTGTGAGGCAATAATTAAGCTTTCAAGTTGGCTCGAACAGGTAGACACTATGAACAAGCTCGGGCTGAGAGTCAGTTTCTTGGGATGGGCTCTCCGCTTCGATAGATTCCGCTTATGATGTGTTGGATTAGGGTCCAAATCTGGGTCTATCGACGACTGTACATTGGTACTGTAGCCTGGGCAGTTGTTCCTCTCCTTAATCGAAGAGATATCAACAGTTCATCCGAGACCAAGCCACTGTAGGTGGATTTGAGATACGCCTCCGCCTCAAAAGAAAAGATGGGATGTGACTGTCGATGTCAGTTGCATTGCAGTTGCCTCGGATACTGAGCCGACAGCACGGCCCCCAATCCTTTCAGGTGACCGAAAAGGGGAGGGGTGTGATTGATTGATCAGCAAGCGATGAGTTATTCTAGAAGCACCTTCCACAAGGCTTGTGATCGCTTAGGGTACCTATATCCTCTCTCTTGTATCCTTCAGCTGAGGATCTCCTATTCTAGTGTATGCTCGGCTCTAAGCCCCAATTTCCACGGTCTCCAGAGGTTGAGACCCGAGGGAAACCAGCCACAATGGGCTCTCCAGCATCTGAGTGGTCTACACAGTACGTGGGACTGTTTCCTCCACTTTCCGCACGTATTCACTGCCCCCCCCGGTTACGTATATCTCAGCGGAAGATGTCAGACCAAAATTTCCGCTAGTGTATGCAGAAACATGTCTGCCTGTTACGTGCCGTACGGGAGGACGGAGTCTCCGATGGGATGCGCACTTGAACCCTGTCCATAAAAATAGGACCACCGACTTTTCTACTTTTCTGCTTAGGGGCTTTTTTTACGGAGGCTCGGCAAGCTCCAAATTGCAAGAGCACCTTTAATTTCATCTACCCGAGGATCCGGAAATGCGATAGACTACCACTAGGGAGACTATCCGTACTCGTACTCTAAGTCATCCCGAGCCCCATGAATCGCAGTCTTGGTATTACAGGCTCGGGCTATCGGCATCACGCCATTACCCGTTGTACTGCGGCCAAGCCGGCCTTGAGGCTGTGCCAAGTACACCTGCGCCACAGTGACTTCGGTATGAAGTAACTTATGCAGGAGTTGATGCCTGAATGGGCACGACAGTTACCAGCCTTACCAGCCAAGTTTTCGAAATCGGATGGCTGCATATTTGTGACCAAGGATGATCGTTGCCCCAGTGGCGCATCGATGTACTGGTACAGTACTAGTGAGTGTATCTTTAGGTACATTCGGTAGCATGGGACTTGGAAAGTCACCATCGAGGCACACCGGGAGAGGGGGGATGAATCTATAGATGCCCTGGATATTGCGGCAGTGTCAGGAGTACCTCTCTTAGCATTGGTGATCAGTCTCAGCCCTGCGTCCATCCCAGGAAACACATGGGTGCAAGAACGCACAGCCACCCCGCACCTCATCGTGGCGGGGGAGTCATCCGTACGGGTCACCGCTCTTGCGTAAACTTAGAACAAATCTCACATCAGAACATCTCAAAGACAACACTTACTGAACCTAGAGAGGTGATCATGGCCAGGGCTGGGGGGGCAAGGAATCGGGGCCAATACTGTCCCGCATGGGGGGTTTTTTTTCTGACTGCAGTGTGGCTCAGTCATACGGAGAGAGGTAAGATTGGCATGTTTTGGCATGTTTTGCCTAGTAAATCTCGCAGGGCTTGGCATGAACGGAGAAGAGGGAAACAGTGGGAAACAGTGAATTCATGGTGGGGCTCGTCCCCAGCAATTCACAGGAAGAGCCAGGAAGGCCAGAAGGATCCGACTGCGCCTGCTCAGCCCTGTAGTGCCGTAGTAGTGCCAGATCAGCTTATCAAGTGGCCAAATCTTCCACTATAAAAGCCTAAGGTGCCCCTCGTTCCCATCATCCGTCTTTCATCATACTATCCCACTTGCCTCCTTCCTCCGACTTACAAGTCAGATAACAACACTTACATCACACATCCATATCAATTTACCCCTCTTCGTCTCTCTCACACACACACACATACACACATTATGTCCGGCTACGATCAGTACAACCAGGGTCAGGGCGGCTACTACGGCCACCAGCAGGGTGGTTACCAGCAGGGCGGCTACCAACAGGGCGGCTACCCCCAGCAGCAGGGCTATGGACAGCAGCAGGGCTACGACCAATACAACCAGCACAGCCAGCAGCACGGTAGCCAGGGTGGCTCTGCCAACGACTACTATGGCTCCAGCGGACAGCAGTCTCAGTATGGTGGTGAGAGCCAGTACGGCCAGCAGCAACAGTACGGCCAGCACGGCCAGCAGCAACAGTACGGTCAGGACCAGCGTGGAGAGTAAGCTCCCCCTCATCAAGTTCCCCTCTATGCCCAAGCAAAGTATCATGGTGACTGACATGTTCTTTTCTTTTTTGTTCTAGGTACAACCAGCAGGGTGCCCCTGGTGGCGCTCAGGACGGCGAACGTGGCCTCGGTGGTGCCCTCGCCGGTGGTCTTGCGGGAGGCTTTGCCGGTCACAAGGCGGATCACGGGATCCTCGGAACCATCGGTGGTGCCATCATCGGAAGTATCGCTGAGGACGCCATCAAGAAGCACAGACACAAGGAGGAGGAGCAGCAGCAGTACGGCGGCTACCCTCCCCAAGGTGGTCCCGGTGGCCCCCCTCCTCCCGGCTCTCACCACGGTGGCGGTGGTAGCATGATGGACCAGTTCGGCAGCTTCTTCAAGAAATAGACGGCGCCTTCGTTGACTGTTCTTGATCTCATGATCTTGCTGCTTCATGCTATGTGACTGAGCCTTTTTATTTACTTGTTGCCCTTTTCTTATTGTTACGGCCGGCCGGGGTATGGGAAATGAATTTAGTCTTTTCTTCCAACAACCGTTTCTTGCGCATAAGATTGCTCTGCTTTTCTCTGAACGGATAGGACTTGAAACTTGATACCAATGCTGGGTCTGCCAGCATATTTAGCTTATTAGTGGCTACGCTACAAAGAATCATACTGTCTTTGACCCCGCAAATCCGAGAATGCTTGCTCAAGAAGAAATGTAACTGTAGATGCAAGGTATTATATGTTGCTAAGACTGTCAGATTATTTGTAAAGAAACCTAGATGTCAACCCAAATGTCAACGCTCCAAAGAGGGGGCGAGATGGCGGGGTGACCGTTCCTACGACACCCGAGTCCCGACAACCCAACCCCGCCTTTAGATTTCATGCATTTCCGGGAGGACAAGTGCTCAAACCATTGGTCGACCTGGGGCTTACTGAGTCATGAGGTGATGAGTTGTCCCAGCAAGTAGGAGGATTTGCATTTGAATCATTGATTGACATCTGACACCAGGATGGTCGTGCATCTGCTTTCCCAGCATCTCTCAATCCTGCGTCTCTCCGCCCGGCCCGGAATACTCACCGCACTCTGCCCGTGTCTGGCGAGAACCTCGTGCAGACCCAGCAACGTGTCTACAGAGGGGAGACCGGTATGGGCGATGCCCTCCAGTAGCTCGATTAGGGCCTCATCCTCGTCCTCATGGAAGGTCGTCTTCCCGCCGAGTCGGTGCTGGTAGATGCCCCGGACCCGGTGGTCGGCGCCGTCCGTGGGGAGGACCTCGCGATAGAAGCGACACCATGCCCCGGTGCTGATTTCCCCGGCGATGAGGGCCGAGTCCGGGTTCTCGCGCCGCGCCTGCAGGAAGATGTGCTTGAGCAGTTCTTCCATGCGGGCCCAGGGGAACTCCTCGAGGGGCAGGTCCCCCGGGCCCAGCATGTAGAACATCGTCGTGCAGGGCGTGTTCCTCGAGCCGACTTGGTATGTGACCTCGCATTGCCGGTCATACAAGCAGCCGAGCAAGCGTCCACCGTCCGGGGTGCAACCCCCTTGGTGCAGAGAGATCTCCCCAGGCTGGATCATCTTGTGGCAGGTTGAATTGGGGATGGTCGATGTTGTAATGAACGGTATATAAAGTAGATAGTGCAGTACAGGTTAGTCAAGTTATCAGGCGAATGGCTCTATCTTTTCCGCTTGGGAAAGCCGCTTGCCAGGCACGGCATATTTATATCTCGATTGACCGGGTTTTCTAAGAATCACATTGTCTTGATGTGTGAGCTCTTTGACCACAGCAAGATAAAGGGAAGTGTCCTTTATTATTAGATTGCTGTAGGTGAAAGTCTCGGTCTCTGAGTATGATTCCATGGCCTTGGTCCTGCAATCAGTTGTTTTGCCGTTCAAGTGATCTTTGTTCCTATCCCTCCGGTCTGAGATTCGGTGTCTATTGTAGCCGGTCCAGCAGTGTCTATTCCTGTCTTGTACTGTACAGTACTCTTTTTGGGCTTTTAGAGGAAGATAGACTCTCTTGTTCAACCATATGACCATGTCGACTCACTATGTCTGAGAAGGACTGCATGAAATATGACTTGGTGAATAGGCCTCCATGATATGGACGAGAAGAAGTTGAGATAACTTGGAAATAGATGGATCATACATCGTCGCCCTGAGGCAGCTAGACTTAGCCCGAAGTGGATTAGCGCATGATTATTGATGCCTGGGGCAGAACTGCGCGGCCAAGCCCGATCAAAAGTTCGAGCGGAAAGATTCCCTTCAACCTTGCGGAAGGGAACAAAACTGCTCTGTATAGTACACCATGATTGTCCGGCAATGTTTGCGGCAAAGTGAGTTCTTGTCTGCTATCTCGGCTCTATCGAACGTTGTATCCTGATGACTGACGCTCTCTCTGTCTTGCAGGCCGCCAGCTCGGTGCGCTCAACTACCAATCGCGCGTCTGGGCCCGATTCTCCTCCACCGAGACGATTGTCGACACTCCGACGCAGCAAGCCCCCCGGGTGACTACTACTCCCAGTGGAATACCCTCGGAGCCTGCGTCACCAGATGATTATGGATTGACTCCTGAGAAGGATGCCTGGGGCAAGGGCCTACAGCGCAGTTAGTACACCCCAACCAACTTGGTTCCCCCCCCTCCCCCCCCCCAAAAGTACACGGGTCCGGACGGCAACACTAACATCAAATGCTCTTCTTATCTTGAATAGAGTCCGACTTCCGCAGAATGGGAACCAACCTGACAGGCAAATACCACCCCGACAATCTTCTCCTCGACCCCCCGAAACCCTCCGACATCACCCTCGAACTGCTCCTCGCCAACCAGACCCATCTCGGCCACTCCACCTCGCGCTGGAACCCGCAAAACTCCCCCTACATTCACGGTATCCGCGAGGGTGTCCATATCATCTCCCTGGACGTGACCGCCGCGTATCTACGGCGTGCGGCCAAGGTCGTCGAGGAGGTCGCCGCCCGCGGCGGGTTGATCCTGTTCGTCGGCACCCGGAAGGGCCAGAAGCTGACGGTGGTGCGGGCCGCCGAGCGGGCCAAGGCTTACCACCTCTTCGAGCGATGGATCCCCGGCAGCTTGACCAACGGCAAAGTCATCCTGGGCCACTGCGATATGAAGGTGGTGAACATGTTCGACGACGAGCTGCCGGCGTTCAAGGAGGTGGCCGCCTCGCGGCCCTCGCTCAAGCCGGACTTGGTGGTCTGCTTGAACCCCCTGGAGAACACGGTCCTTCTGCACGAGTGTGGCCTCAACAACGTCCCCACCATCGGCATCATCGACACGGATGCGGACCCCACCCGCGTCACCTACCCGATCCCCTCGAACGATGACAGTCTGCGGGCTGTCGGCCTCATTGCGGGTGTCCTGGGACGCGCCGGGGAGGCCGGTCAGAAGCGGCGGTTAGAACTTGCGAGGATGGGAGAGACTCTTTACCAGCCCCTTACAAGTACCGAACTCCCGTTCCACAAGGCGGGGCGGGAAAATGATCAGGGACAGGAGTCTTGAGGGGTGGGGAATGAAGAATTGGCGCTACGTAATTTCTTTCTGATATTGGATTGCCTACCCTTTGACTGGGATTGTACTGTATAGGACATATAAACGTTTTTGTGTTTTCCCTCTCTCCATGTTCTCCTTCTGGTGTTGCGTTGCGTACATGTATCAACAAATGTCATGTGAATCATATCTTTACCATCCTGGGGTTATCTGATTCTACTGTTGAATGGACTGTTCTCGTGTGCCATCAATCATGAACTCCAGTTTTAGATCTTGGATAGGTAGAGTGACGGGCGGTTAGTTTCTCCTTGCATGCCGATTCCACATGGAATATACGTGGTTAACTGCCCGTGGGATTCTGGGAGCACTTCCAAGTATGGTCCGCGAGATGATTGTATTCCCGTGCAAACATCCACTTGCTATGTGTATTGAACCAGCAGCGGCTGCCTCTCTCTTTCTCATGCATCGGTGCTCGTCTCGTCGCGGCGCATATGATCCAGACATGACTGACCGGTAGTTGATGGGTGGTGATAGCCAGTCCGTCCGAAGCCAGAGCGCCAAATTGAGCGAGTCGCCATCATACGATGGGTCCGATTTTCCAGTTGTCCGGAGGGCTCATCATACGGTGTACAAAGCCACGGGTAGCGGCATGCTTCCTCCTCTGTGTCTATCGTGACTTTCTGTCCTTGAACCACTACTAGGTTACTATCAAGTCGGCAAGTCACATAACCACTACACCCATTCAATCAAAGTCAATAATCAATAGACAATCAACCACCCGAGCAGTGTTCAAAGTCAAGTCAAGTCAATGATCACCTCCACCACCAGGGAGGAGTAAACCACCAACCCGAGACCCTCGAAACCTTCTTCTCCAGACCCATCCCCGTCCATCTGACCGCTCATATCGACCCTACCTGATCCAGCTGTATGTCCTACCACCTTTCCCATGCAGGGACTGAGCGGTAGGGACGTGCTAGCCCTAGACTACACCTAGTACAGAGTATCCAATAGCCTCCTCCGGTTGAGGACGGTATGCTTCATGCAACTCGATCAATAATTCCAGCCCGGACCAAGGCCACCTGATTGGCACAGAACCCCGAACGCGGTGCTTTTGTGGCTGTGATAGTTCGATGCAGGAGGCCAGCCTGGAAGGGTAGAATGGAAGTCCTTGGCTGTGAGCATACCAGTATGGCGATTGTTTTCTTTCTGCTCCTTGCGGTCAATTCAAGTCCCTATACCCACTGGGTAACCACGATCTGGATGGGGTTAGAGCAGGGATCGATATTGAATTCCTGGTATGATATATCAACGATCCCATGATTTTCTTTGCTCTCCCTCTTACTACCGGACTTATTCCCCGTTCCTCTCTCTCGTCTGGGCACCGTTGTCGCTCTATAAATCCAGCTCCTTAGCTACCTGCTCTCCCTCCTCTCCTTCCTCTCCCTCCATCTCTCTCCTTTTACAAGTCTAGATCCAACCGGACAGCAAAGAAATCAAAGAGCGAAAATGCACCTCCAAACCCTCCTCTCCCTCCTCCTAACCTCCGCCTCCCTCGTCGCCGCATCACCGAATGCTGCTGCTGCTGCTGCCCCGGCAGCCACGACGGCAGCCAGCGCAGGGGATACAGCGCAGTGTGCGAAGAGGTACGTATTATTTCTCCTTCTTATCCGAACCCACCCCAAGCTCCCGTTCAAGAGACCCTCGACTCCCGAATCCAAAGAGAGTTAACCCAACTAACACAAGGGAAACAGTATCCTCGACGCGTGCCTGAAACAACTCCAACCGCAGATGGACGCCTGCGCGCAGAACGACTGGGATTGTCTGTGTACGCAGAGTCAGAATGTTTTGACGTATGCACAGCCCCCCTTTCTCTTTTCCCAACTTTAACTTCCTTTGTTCTCTGTTGTGATGCTTGTGTTTTGGTCTTGAGTGTGGGTGTTCTTGTCTTGTGGTGTCGGATGCTATATACATCGATTTATCACCCCTCTTACCTACCATCTACCACTCACCACTCACCACCCTCCAAACCTATACACCATACCACATCAACCCCACACACACTACCCGAATCCAAAAGAAGAGCCCTACACACTATCCCCTGAGCCGATGCTAACCCTTTCTCCCGGGCGAAAAGCTGCTACAACGACTGCCCCTCCGACCCGGGCCGCTACACCGTCACCCAGCAACAAGTCCCCTACTGCAACGCCGCCCAGGCCAACTCGCTGCTGTACTCGACCTCCACCAAGGTGACGAAGACCTCCTCGGCGACCACGACGACCGCGCCCACCACCACCGCCGCGGCCAAGACGACCGCCGCGTCGGCCACGGCCACGGCGGTCGAGTCTTCCGGGGCGGCGGGTGCCGGTGCTGCTGCAGCTGGATTGGAGCTGGGGTTGGGGGTTGCGGCGGTGGCTTTGGGGCTGTGGGGGATTTAGGTAACAAGAACCATGCATGTTGCTTGATGAGAGGGTAGGATGTAATTGCTGCATGAACTGATGGATTGGATGGATTTGTATGTAATATGTATGAAAGAATTTGTGATATTATGTGATGTCTAATTTTGCGAATGCTGTGATATATATTTTGGATGATTAAACAGATGTAGAATGGGTATCGAATGCATGCAGAGATTCAAAGCGCAAGTTCATACTTCATGACTCCCCAGTAAGACGTTAACCTCCGGTAAGCTGATCGGAATGTCTCCTGTATTCGTCTTCGCCCTGTCCACACCGCCGTTGACAAGGCCCCCGTGGCGCAGATCCCCACCAGAGTCCATTGGAAAACTCCCTCGGAGAAAATGGAGAGTGACGACCTTATGGTTTCGGCTGTGTTCTGTGGTTCTCGTGGTCAGCATCCAAAGCCACGGGAAGAAAGAGGGAAGTAACGGATAACATACCCATATCTCAAACGCCGCGAACACCCTCGTCGCCCCCATATGATTGCCCTCGAAATCCACCGCCACCAGTCGAAAGTGACCCTCCCCCAAAAGTTTGACGGTCGTTTCAAACCCCTCCTTCGGTTCGTACTGCACGCTCTCGAACTCCTCCTCCGGGGCATTGCCATTGCTGGCCCGCTGCAAGACCCAGCCCGCCACATCCGTCGCCCCGTTCCAACTCACGTACGCTGTGTGCGCCGTCTCATCTACCTCGACGTCTGGCGGATCGCGCGGTCGCCCGACCCAGTGGGACTTCTGCGCACGGTACGATTTGGTCCACCCAAACCAGAAGAAGACCCTAGGGCCCCAGTGGAAATCGCAGAGGAGGTCGCCGTCGGTGCTGAACTCGGTGTAGGCGGAGGATTTCCCCCAGCCAATGAACACATTCCCGGTTCGCGGGAGAACTTGCAGGCTGCCCTGCGAGTGGCTATTGAAGCGGCCCGGGCTCTCGTAAACATGGAGGGTATCGGCGGTCCAGTCGGCAAAATCCAGTCGGATCATGAGACCCCGGGAATGGTCGCAGGTGTACCCGGTCTCGTACGCTGCGTTGTCGAGCAGGGTGAGTACATTGTCCGAGTACCAGCGCGCGTCGTGCTGCCAGGTGAACCCCGTTGCCGAGCCATCAGAGGAGATATCCCGGAAAGTGTTGCGCTTCCCGCCCAGCACCCACAGGGTTTCCCCGGTCGAACTGATGCAGGTGACAGTGTGCATGTAGCGGGACGATATGAGGTAGCTTCCGTCACTGGGATGCTTGTCGATACTGTCGATATGGAAATAATCGTACGCATCCTGTGGGGAGGGCGAGGAACCCTTGTCGCCGAAGGGGAGGTACGATTCGTCGATGGCATAGTGATCGCGTGCGCGCCACTCAAAGAGAAGCTCGCCTGTCTCAATGTCAATCTCCTGAAACAGGCTGTCGTATATCCAGCCATCTTCAGGCCCGCCGACTGCGCTCAGATCCGCCTGGCAGATTTCGTAGATGGTCAGGATCGCGGTGCCTTGGTCGGTGATTTTGAACTCGTGCACGTCGCCTTGATGACCGTTGGCGGCTGAGACAGTTTGGACAACGTCGTAGGAGGAATTCAGCTATTCAAGCGTGAGATGATCAGTTCAGCTGGCAATCACATACAACTAAGCATTCTGCGGTAAGACCCACCATGTAGTACTGTCCCATGCCTCGCGTGCCATCATACTCGCCGGCCCAGAAAGTGAGGTAATCTTGGCCCTGATACTGCTGTACCTTCAAGTCCATGACCTCCCCGAATGCGCGCTCCATCCAGACTAGATTCCCCCGGTGGTCGTAGACTAAGGGTCCCGGTTCGGGATAGCTATGACCACGCGGGCTGAGAAAGACATAGCCTTCTTCACAATCGGGATGCCATTGTTTCACATGAACCTCGGGGGACTTCATGTCGACCGACTCATAACTCAGCGTGGGATGCGGGCCGAACAACCCCAGTTCATACCAGAGGCCGTGCCATGAGAAGGCCGTTGCCAGTAAGGGCAGGAAGCCCCAGAAAACCAGCAGTGCGGCCATCTATGGTCGGAGATAGAATGATTTGAGATGAGAATGAACAGGAGGAGAATGCAATCCTTGAACAGCCGCGAGAAAAACATCTTGTAGGGTTGAAGTGAGCCATCCTAACCAAAGTGGACACAGCATGACGCGGTCGATCATGGATTGCAAAGCGACTGACGAGTCAACGTCGGTTTCGACCGAATCGGCCCCGTTAGCGGTCGTCGTTCGTTGGCTTGTGTTCCACTGATAGTCCCCAGTGACCCAGTCGTTCAGAACCCACGTAAACAAGATTCCCTTGAATCCACTTGGGGCGACGCTAGCTGTTTAGGCCGTGGAGAACCACGCGGAATTCTCGTTGTCAGAGTTCCAGCTGTCGTCGTACCCATGGTTTGTAAAGAGCATCCGTCGGCAGAGCTGCCTTTGAAGCGGGCAGATAGTAAGTAGTGCGGATAAATCTTTCGAAGAGAATGAACTGGTAGAAGAAGTGCTTGCTATACTGTATTGTACTACTTTTCCCCCTTCAGTTGCATCAGCTGCACAGCTTCATGCAGCGTATGCTGTACTGTACCTCTTCGCGAGGCGGCAGCCACACATTTTGACCTGGGCGGTCCATGTCATAACTTGATCTGATGATTGATGGAATATGATGTTGTGTGGCCTTGGAGGCTAAGGGAACACTTGATGCATTATTGTGCGTGAGGCACAGCTGAGGGGTTGGTTTAGGGAAGTATGGAAGCAGGAGAGGTGCAGATACGAACTTGGAAGGCGAAGGCAGATGCATACATTTGTATTTGCTACTTTCCTCCTCTCCTTCTGGTACTTCTCCTCACACCAACCTTTTGCTCCTTCTCCTTCTTCTTCTCCTCCTCCTCTTCATTCTTCCCACGCTTCCTCTTCCCCCGGGTATCTTGAAGATCAATTCTTTCCCTCTCCTCCTCCTTCTTCTCTTCCACCCCATCCACACCCCCAAACCTCACCACAAACGCCACCTTCTCAATCTCCGCACACCCAACCCCCAACCTCCCCCTCAACCTGCGCACCGCCTCCCACAGCTGTCGATACTCCCCAACAGTATACTTAACGTTCAACTCCCCGCTCTTCCCCGGCTTAAACGCCTTCCCTACCTTTCCCAAATCGCCGCCAGGGAAAACCCCCAAACACAACCACAAAAACACATCATCACTGTAAAACGGCACCCCTTGCCCATCATCCTCACCATCATCGGACGACAAAACCGACAACACCAAACTCCCCGTCGCAGGACCAACGCCCCTCAACGGGCCCGTCAACGTCTCCAACGCAGTCCCCGGGAACGTCTCCCGCACTTCCACCGTCCGCAATAATCGAAATGCCGACCCCGTAGCCTCTCGCACCAGACGGTCGGGATTCGACCGGATCATCCCCAGTAATGCGGGGCGGGTTTTTCCGTGTTTCCTTTTTGATGTCGCTTAGTACTGCTGTGTAGTTGTAGGAAACCATGTGGAGGAGGTGGTATGCTCCGGTAGCCTCGAATCACAACAGAGAATCGTGCAGGGGAATGATAAAGCAGGCATTAGGCGGTTGGGAAGCAACAGGGGAAAAAAAAACGTACATCTTCCACTCAACCAAACGCACCAATTCCTCCTTCTCTAGATAGGCACTTCCTTCCCCATCATCCCCGATAGTGGTCGAGGCGCGTTGACGGACTGCATCCGGGAGGGTCGTGTAGCGGAACTCGTCGAGGGCGAGGTAGGTCTTCACGGCCGCTGACACATCATCGGGGTCTTCAGTTGCACGATCCTGGGGTGCGGATTTGCTTTTGGGTCTGCTGCCACTGCTGCTGCTGTTACTGCTGGCAGCAGATTTCTTCTCGGTGGTGGTAGTGGTGGTGACTTTGCGCCGCGTGGTGGATTCCACGGTGGATGGGTATCTCGCTAGAAGGGTTTGGAAGGTTTCCTTCGTGATGCGGTCGGGGTCATAGGTTTTGTGGGTGGCCATTGTGATGGTGACCGTGATTCAAGGACAAGTTGGCATAACAGGGGTTTACATGGAATCATTCTACAGGAGTTGTTCAAAGCTTCACAGTGTTGGTACGGCTAGCACCAATACAGACGTGGAGATTATGCTTAGGTAACGATCCTCCCAACACTGCGTCTCCCATACATGTAGTACTTGAAAAATTCAAAATATTGATGAGGCTACAAGAGGAGAATTTCCATTGAGTATTGCATATTGATGGCTTCGTGGTCTAATCATAAGCTGTAGAGTCCGTCTCCCATCAACATCTCACTGCACTTCTGCACAAAATTGTCCAAAACCCATTCCGTGATTTCCTCATCCACACAATTTATCCACTGAACCGAAGTCTGATACAGGAAAGGTTAAGAGGAGAAATATAACAGCAGAATTACAAAAGACAGAGGGTCTAGCCCCGAAATGAAGCGAAATTCTATCGTGTATCATCATCCGGACTCTCCTTTGGTTCACCCTTGGCAGGGTTCGAGTCGGGGTTGACGAAGCTCACCCGCTTCTCTTCCTTGCCGCGTGATAGAGGAACCATTGATGCCGCCATGAGTCGGTCTTTCTTCTTAATGCTGCCACGTCGCAGCGACTTCGATAAGGGCGGTGCCTGGGGTGTCCCCGTGCTTGCCATCCCTATATCTGACTTCGCCGGAGTAGCAGCAGCCGATCGCGCGCTATTCTCATCGCCATCCTCGACGTCAATATGGCCCAAATCTTCGTCATGATCGCCTGCTTCAGAGGAACTAGGCCCCGGATCCGAATCCGACACATCGCCGTAATCATCGTCATCACTCACGAGACTCGGGGCTTGATTTGACTCGGCTGTATTCGGACTGAGATTCGAGGCTTGTTCTGTCCCTTCAAGTTCTCGCAAAGCTCCCCTCTGCGAGCCCTGGGGAGGACAAGACATGGAAGGATACGGCGACTGGTAAGCAGTAGACCGGGTTGGTGTCGAGGTTTGCAGGGGTGGAGGCCTGTGATCCAGGGAATCCAGTCCCTTTCGGCTACCAGGGCGACGACTTGTCGCCTGCGAGGCTGTCGTACGCATCGGTTGCCTGCCCGCACGGGCTCCCAGCGGTGTCTGATCCTGACTCATCTCTGCCGAAGGTTGCACGGACCCGGCGTCTGACTCGCCATCGTCATCATCAGAATAGTCATTCAGGTCTACCACAGCCTTGGCATCTCCGACCAGTTGTTCTAGGTCAACCGCAACGCCCCGAAGCTTCATCAGATTCGACAAATGAGGAGTCGCAGGGGAAGACATGAATGAACCGTTGCCGGCCGTAGCGGGTGTTGTTGTCTTTGAATCAGCGTTAGATGCTCGAGTCGTCTCCACTCCAGAGGGAGTCTGTCGAACAGGGCTAGATCGTTTTCGAGGAGTCACAGTGGCATCGGATACAGGTGTAGGCGTCTTGGGAAGCGGCTCAATGACATGCGCTGACCGAATCAACGGATGAATGAAACCAGCTGTGGCCGGGCTGGAAGCTTCGATTTTGCTGCCAATTACTGCGCCAGCCTCGTCCACTTCCACAGGTTCGCCCGACTCAACTGCCGCCGCTTCATGGCTAGCGTAATTTCGGCTGTGCGCAATACGACAGTGATTGATGAATCCCTGCGTGCTAGAGAAATTGTCCCGGCGACAATCCAGACACACCAGCTTGACGAGTAAATTATCCGATTTTCGTCGGATGAGCATTGGGCCAGACTTGTCCTTTGGCTGCGGGTAGCCGTTGGGTAGAGACTGCAATCTTCCACTTGTGCCTCGTTGCGGTCGCGTCTTACTAGCGACGTAACCCAGATCCCCACAGCTTCCACGAGTCGAGCGCCCTTCAGTCCATGGACTAGCAAGGCCGCCAGTCATTGGGGTAGCAGGTTCTAGCTCCCCGCCATCGAAACGAGGATCTGGGATTAGCCATCTTGCGAGATGGCGACTGTACGGGCCATCGGTGACGCCCCAGGGTGCTGGAGACAATGGCGCAGGTCCATTTTCAGGAGCCCACACTGCCATGCCCGTCCCGCTGCTGACAGCTTGCGAATAGCCCGCCACATTCGAACCCGGATAAGGGATCTCTGCGCATCGGCGTAACTGCTCCAACGCGACCTGGCACTTTGCGATTTCTTGGTCGATCAATCGAAGTTCGTTGTGCTTTAACAACACCTCCAAGCTAAGCTGGGCTTCAAGCGTTTCACGCAGTGTATCCACATCAACCTTCCGTGCGCCGGTGTTCTTGGTCATCACAGGAGGTTCAGATGCACTCTGACTTGGAGAAGGGGGCGGCGACGATTGCGACATCACGGGCGGCGAATTTGTCGGAAGACTGTTAGGCGATTCGAGTGACACAGTATCCGTGTCGGTGGCGGCTGACGAGGTATCCTGCTTGATGGCGATCGAGTCGCACGGCGCGTTCTCTGCGCGCAGCTTGGTCGCAACCGGAGTATCCTGACCAGGCGTCATATCCGTGGAATCGGAGCGCTTGCGCTTCAACTGAGGCAGAGGGATGGCGTTGATGCCAGGCGCAGGGCATGGCGGAGTCGCAAGCATTTTCAGCTCCTCCGCCATCACCTTGTTTCCCCCAATTGCAGAGGACCAGGGTAGCAGCCGAAACATGCCATGCGAGTTGTGGTCGCAAGTCCTCGTGGTTTGCGACTTGCGTTGCGACAAATGCGCCAGGTCTGTTAGATAAGAGAAGAGTGCGCACGAACGAATCAAGGATTAATTATATGCTTCGCTGAACGACCATACACCCGTGTACGCGAAATGCGACCGATCTAAATGTGGAGAGGAGAGAAGAAAGCGAAGTAGAGCGAAGCGCTCAACGAGAGAATGCGTGTCGCTGCCGATCGGTCGGACAAGTCGTTTGCGACCGGCTGAAACCCAGCAAAGAGGGGGGGGGAAGGAAACACGGGGCAAGAGTCAGAGGGAGGGAGAAGGTTACCCCAACGAAAAGAAGACAGATGCCGGTAGCTCCGATGGGTAGGTAGTAAGCATGCACCACGCGGTGATGAAAAGGGCAGAATTGTTCAAATTGATTTGTTGATAGCGTAATCGACCAAGACAAGGAAGATGTTCCAATAGCAGTTGGAGTAGTGTAGAGCGGTTGGGTGGGTGGGGAGGAAGGGATGTGACTAGGAAGGTAGATAGTAGGAGTAGTAGGGGTAGGTATAGTAGTTGCAGAAGTGGACGGTGTGATAAGGTGAGTAGGAAGTAGAATAGAAGAAGAGAGTCAGGTAGGGCGCAAGAAGTGGTAAGTTAGTGGTGGTGGTGGTAGTAGTGGTGATAGGGAGTGGGTGGGAATAAAGCCGAAGAACGATAACGGGGAATGATAATGACACGGATAATAATGATCATATAATAATAAGAATACGGAGTTGGGAAGCGTATCCGTACTTTGTTGTTTCCACTTCCTTTTTTACCCAGTTGAGGTCACCTGTAAGACGGGAAGGCGACAGACAGGCTGCGACAAGAAAGGGAACCTGGAAGCAGGCGCGGCGATTGACACTCGGGAGGCAAATTCCACGGACAGTGGCGTAATCTATTAATAATGGGGATTGGAGGGAAACAAGCAGCAGGGTTGATTGCGTCCAGTGGGTTGGGTCACTTCTTTTCGGCTTGTTGCCTGGATAGTAGAAGAAAGTTATGGGCGCAGCCTAAGGAAGAGAAAGAGAGAGGGGGGAAGATGTTGAGGGGGGAGAGAGAGAAGTAGAAGAGGATGAAAGAGAGAAAAAGATAGTGAACGAGCTGGACAAGGAGAGGAGCGAATTCAAAAAAATCCAGTCCAGAATAGCTCACTCAACAGCACGATTCAGGATTCACAGGATGCAGAGCAATAAGAAGAATGGCCCGTAAACAGGAACCTAAAACGGGAGGGAGGATTCGGAGTCCAATGAATGTGGACCAGGCGAAGATTGTCTTCCGACCAGGGACCAAACCGGTTTAAGCAATGTGAAAGGTTATTTGGCAATGATGAAGAAAGCTGGTTGAGAGTGGATGATGGGGTGGAGAGAGCAAGAGAGAGCAGTCGAGGGAATAGCAAAGAAGCTGGGAGAAGAGGGTGGAATCGAGGGATTCCCAGAGGTGTTCAAGGGAGAAGATGATATCAACAACAAAAGGTAGCCAGCAAACAACAAGAAGAGTAAGAAAAAGAGGAGGAGAAGAGAAGGAGGGGGAAGGGGAAAGAGAATGTGTTGTTGTTTTGTTAGTGATTTAGTGTTAGTGTTAGTTACTATTGATTGATTGACTTATTTTAGAGCAACGGGGATAAGAGTATGGGTGGTACTGGCACTGGCACTGGTAGAGAAAGAAGGGAAAGAAGAGGGGAGGAGAAAAGACTAAAGAGAGGGAAATGGGGTTCATTCTTTCATCATCGTCACTAAGTTACTACTGTACTGAAAGAGGTGGGAGGGGGTTTTACCGCCTTGATTCACTCTGGGGTGGGTGAGTCCACTTTTCAACTCCGTCCACTACTGAGTTTACTGATACATCCTCTGATACTGACTCTGTTGGTCCTCCGTACCATTGCTCAACTCGCCCTTCAACCTATGAGAGCGTTAGCAGCGTACAGCCAAGCTGCAAGTCCCCACGATTCCGACTCATTGTTCTTTGCGAGCAGCTGCCTGTGTTGATTAGTGTGGCGAGCCTGCCATACAGGTCGAATCATCATCTATCCATGATGACTGCCTGAACTTCTGCCGTAAACCAGACGAGTGGAGCCTGAATCGAAGAATCCTGGGCCTGGACTGGTCCATGGATGGCCGGGGTACCGCCTGCGCTAATCTGTCCACTATTCCTGAAACAGTTGAAGTGATGCTGCTCTTTCTGTTCCATGCTGCTGTTGCTGTTGCTTTTGTTTTTGCTTTGCTGCTGCTGCTGCTGCTGCTGCTGCTTGCTGCTAGTCTGCTACCTACCGCAAGACCTACCACAAAGTACGAGTACCACCACGGTATCGTATAGTAACCTCAGATACCCGTTTCTTAAAGCATAAGTCTCTATCTGCCTATCTCTCGCTCATACTTCTCTTTCCACAACCAGACCAATGCAAAGGAAGACTCGCTTACCGCGATGTCAACAGTGCAGTGTATGCACCCCTCGTCAACAGGCCCAACATTGAGCCACATTTGCTTGTTCCATGGATTCGGATCTCATCTATCCTGAATTAGCTTTGTCACACATGTTCATTGTCTTATGCTCTCGCCGTCAAGTCTCCTGCCCGTCTGCCCGTCTGCCCGCCCTCGTATGATAGATCGACCTGATCGTCGCGTTTGCCCACCGGCCGGTGTTGTTACATCATCCACTTTCGTCGTCACCCGCGCCGTCCGTTGCTCCGTGCTCCACTTTTGGCCCAATATAGTTCGCAATTGAGTTCACTATGATCTCGTCGGCATAATCGAGTGCTTGGCCGCCCATGTGTTGGAGGCGCTATCACTGGAGGGATGCTGCACTTCCGAATCCTCCGCGACTGGTGGACATTCTAGTGTCCTTTGTGATGTGTTCTAGAATAACGTTCAATGGTCGGAATCCATGGTGTGACAACTTTTGTTGTAGCGTCCCTTTTTCTGAGGACCTGAGTCTTGTACTGCACCTCAAAATCAACTTATCTCTCCCTGTTCCTGGCTCAGCGACTCGAGTGCCCTTTGAGGGCGCTTGTATTTTCTAAGGGAGTCTCATGAGCTGCAACTGGTCTCGTTGCAATGGAGCGGCAAGCTACTAATGGAGTTGACAGGCCCAGCGACAAATCTTCCGGGATAGCAGGCGTCAGGAAGCTACTAATTGAAGAGAATTCGATGACTCGCGTAGCTTGTGATACATGGTAGACATGTAGTGGAGCTCTCCTCTGATTCAGTACAACGAGATCTCGCAATGAATCCGCCTGCCCCTATCACCGCACAAAGCACTCAGACTAACCTCACACCGAAATAGCCATGCACGTGTGGCTGCCATGCTCTGTGCAATGATCAGTCGCGTGACAAGACAAGTATACTCTAATTTAGCTGTTTCCATACTCGTCGTTCTTTCTCTTAAGTCCTTCCTCTTTCCCGCACCCCGCCCAATGCTTACGGCCAGGACTGGCGAGATAATCCAACAAACGACGGTAGACCACTTTCACTAGGGCACATTGCACTTATACTTAGGGGTTCATCTTGCAGCCTGCGGATTAGAAAGAAAATGATCTCAGGCACTCCTTGCAATGATACAATCAAATCATTTGCCTGATCCCGTCAATCTTACACCGAGTTCTGACCCCTCCACGAGGGTATCCATGACTCAGGATGAAGATGGACCAACGAAGAAGAGATGACCGTCTATCTAATCTAGCCCACCGGAGAAGCTAAGCCATTGCACATTCTATCATATGTGCCACCCGGATGAACGATCCTTCATCTCCCAGCAGCTATGCTCCAGCGACTGGAGCACATCTCTTACTCATGCGCATCATCATCGACATTACCTCCACCCGTCTAGCTCGGAATACCCTCAGCCAAGACAATTAAGGAAAACACCATCAGATTTGCAAAAGCCACCACTGGGTGATCATTGCGATTGGAAGGCTATTATGCCGCAGCCAAGATAGAGATAGTGCTATCATGGATCTGTCTAAGCTGTCCTGGAAAGGGCTCGTGTGTCAATTGACTTAAGAAAGGCCAATCACCGTCCAGACAGCTCCAAGCTCCCACCGCACTGGCCAGGCGACGTACATCACTACAATACGAACCTTGCATACAACGAACGGCCTTGAGGGAATGACCTTATTTGATGATATACCTTGCCAGTGGCCAATGCCCACACGATGACCTCCAAGCGCCCCATGCCTGTGCGCGAGTCGGTCTGGGAAGCCATAGTAGGTTATTACAATGCAATACATTAAACTGAAATGAAAGTTGGCGGTCATTGGTGACTGTGGTGAAAGCCGAAACACCGAGTAAATAGTGTGGCGATGACTGTAGAAGCTGAGAGAGCGATCATTGAAACTGTGTTATATTGGTATCAGGCACGATCAACAGTGAAGCGGAGATAATCACAAATTGAGAACATAAAAACCATCACCTTTTTATTCCACATTCTCTTCCAATCGCGCCTGGGTTATGCAAGTTGCAGGGTCTCGTCAATTGGATTCATGTTAGAGCCCAACATGTGCGGCATATGAGAAGAGCGTAGATAAAAATGCTGCCCAAAACAAGCTTTAAGATCAACGATAATCAGGCCACGCCAACATACTCACCTAACAACGACTCAATTTCATCCCGGAGTCATATAGAGACAGAACATTGAGCAACATGTCAATTGGGAAAGCAGCATTGTCAACGCCATAGAGAAAATCAGTGACCAGCACCGATATCGACAAAACGAAAATAGATCTACCTTCTACTTAGGTCATTCACTTAATTTGTTTTTTTTCGTCATCCAAGGACCCGTTCAGGCTCGCACTCCGAAAAAGTGCCGTCTTGTCTCGTCAATGCTCCCCAAGTCATAACAAATCCAAGCAACCTCTCGTCACTCCCCTTCTTATTCCGTCATCCGCAGAATGAAGTTGACAACAACAGCAGCTAGAAGCGCCAGCGCCAGCACAGTCGGTCCAAACCGGTCGTCGATGCCACTCTGGCCGCGTTTGCGTATACTCTGCGCCCGCCAGTGAAAGGTCACCAAGGCATAGATCATGGCTGCCATGGCGATGACGGTGAACAGGCCTGCGGAGATGCGGCCAATGCGGTCACCGAAGTTCAGGAGACCGACGGCTAAACCACCGAGGATGACGGTGAAGTTGAGCCATGAGAGAAAGGTACGCTCGTTGGCGAAGAACACCTTAGGCTCGACACGGGTGGGCAGGGCAATGCGCTTGCCTTTTTGAGGTTCCGTTAGCTGCTGGACAGTGAAACTGAAGTAGCATTGGTGGCTGCTGGGACCAAAGAAAAGGCATTTCACTCACCAGGAGCGGTTTGAAGAAGGGGCTGACTCGACATCTTGTGGAATGGAAGGAGTTGAGGTGTGGTAGGCTTTGGGTGGGTGAGTGTTGTTGGTAGTCTTAGCCCGCAAGGGAGGATGGCTATCGGAGCTATGCTGAGGTCGAGCAAAGGGTGAAAGATGAGAGGGAGAAGAGAAGAGGAGAAGAGAACAGAGGAAAAAAAAAAAGAAGCAGAGCAAGCTTCAATTGAGGTTTCTAGTTTGGCGCACGAGGAGGCCAAACGAAGGGGCTAGGCCAAGATAGCGCTGGCTAGTTCTTTGCTAGACGGATTGTAGCGAGGAAGAAGACGACGGCATTGATGTAATATGAGACCGGTATTGAGAGGACGGGCGGTGATTCGAACCCAGGACGAGGCCCCCGCGCCTTTGACGGCCAACACCTTCCCCATTGCGGCCGTAGCGGTGGCGCACCCTTATGTTCAGCTCAAGTCTACCGCCCGATAGCGCGCACGTGCTTCATTTGTTTGCTGTGATTGATAGCCTCAGGTCTCCATTGGCCACTTCGATTGTTTCGGATCATCAATGCCCCGGGAGCTGTGGCGGTGGTACCGGGACTATTCCATACTCGGTAAGCAGCTCTTTCCCCTGTCTCTCTACGGCCTAGCGGGCCGTCAGACACAACCAACCAGTAGTCCGCAAAGCCACACTATGATGCCGCCTCAACTAAGTTGCATGTTTCCAAACATCCAAACGACCCTCCTGATAACAACAGCGTGGAAGGATTTCTCTCATTCACTTGCTTCGATTTTCCTTCATTTTTAGACCTCTTCGTGCGCTCCTGCATGCAATAATTGGAAGTTCGCATTTGGTTAGTCTGAGCCAGCCTTATTTCCCCTCTTGTTCGTCAAATAGGAAGAGAGTCTGACGTTCACCCCCCCGTCTTTCGGAGCCACATTCCTGGCTTCCCTGTCCCTCACTTACCCACCCCACAATCACCTCTCCAGCGTCCCGTGGTCGTGCCCACCGACTCGACCCAGACAAGACACCGCGGAGCTTCTAGCTTTCCTCTCTTCCAAACTACGCTAATCAAGACATCGAAACTCGCCTTCAATAACCCGTCTAATCAACTTGCTTAATCACAATGGCCGTCGAACCCGCTCCCACGTCTTCTGTACGTCTCCAACTGCCCCTTATGCGTCCATTATCTTAGGGGCGGGCTGTCATCACCAGCCGATGAGACCGGCAGACGAATCCATTGCTAACAATTCACTTCTAGCCCGTGGCCACTTCCGAACTGACCAAGATAGCCACCGAGGTATGCATCCCGGATAGTATCAGCGGGAAACAGTGAAATCATCGCCGCGAAAACACCATTGCGATTGACCTTCGTCACACTGCCGCCGACTATTGAACCACCCTATCCCCACGTCTTGCATCCGAGCGAACAGAGTCGACGACACACTAACCAGCAGATCCTCAACAGGCCTGCGATTTCGCCCTCAAAGATGTAACGGAGTACGATCACTCCCGGGTCGCAGACTGGAACTCGCACATCATTGTATGTCCGCCTTTTCTCCCCACCCTCGCCCCTAAATCCACCGCGCGAAACGCGCAACCAGCCAGAACCCAAGGCTAACCATGTTGCTACCTACCCCGCCCCCAGAACACTATCCTCAAAGCCCTCATCAGCGCCACGGCTCCCTCCACCGCCTCTTCTTCTCCCCCCTACCGCTTCGTCGTGAACAGCACCATCGTCCAACAGGGCCTGATCGACAAGTCCGCCGCGGCGGACGGCACCACCGCCAATGCCGGCAAGCGCGGAATGCACTCCGCCTCCGGTGCCTTCTGGGACGTCAATCGGGATGGAATGTGGACGTTCAAATACCCCGGTGCCGAGGAGAGGGGCCTGGACGTTGTTGTCAGTGTGACGTGGTTTGTATTGGGTTAAACCGCCAGTCTTGCAATATAGGAGCGGAGGAGCACTTCCATGAGGGTGATACATCCTGACATTTATAAAGGTTCATATTGGTTATCTGCTAGCGAGAGCTATCGCGCGTTAATTGGTTGTATCAATTGGAGCGGGGTTGGCACCGTGTTCTGGTTTACTTTCTTTGGAAATTGCGAGTTTGATTCTCTGTTTTGAAGCCGTGATTCTTGTTGTGCTGAGAGAATGGAGAATGATACCATGGCCTTGTTGTAATAATTGAATTTTGAGGATATATTTCTACAGATGTAGCAGATTTCCCTCCAAGTATCGAATAAACTCGCATGTGGTATTTGAATCGGACGGTCTTGCTCAACGTCCCAAAAATAGAGGTAAGCGCGCAGATAGCTCCTGAAACTCCCAAATGATACAAGACAAAACAGAAGCCCGTCCCCAACACAGTCAATTCAAACCAAGCCGAGTCAAATCAGTGAAATCAATACCTAGCGCCATGCTAACCCACAAAGCCCCTGGAAAGATGCGAACAACAGCGCGAAGCGGACGGATAGCGAAGAGCGACCGTTGTAACGAGATTTCTCCCACCCGTCAAATCTGGAAAGCAAGTCTAACGGGGTTCAGAGTAATCGTTCAGTGCCACACATACCGCCCCGCGATGATGACCACTATATTGTCGAATGATCTGTCCCGATGCCAATTCCCACAGACGCGCATAGTGGTCACTAGATACGGTGACAAGGTAGGCCGAGTCGGCGGAGAAGGCGCAGTCCCAGACCCAACGTTGGTGGTTCGCGAGCGTAGTTTCGAGGAAGAGGGTGCCCGTGGCGGGGTCCATAGGAGGACCGTCTGGCTGGACGGGGAAAGTCTGCTGGGGCTCGTTGTTGACGATGGGCGGTGTACTGTCGAAAAGACTGAGGGGGTTGATTTCGATCTCAGATTTATTGCTGTTGGGGGACAAGGGGTCTTGGCTGTCGGGTGTTGATGTCGGAGATGATGATGATTCGGGTGCCGCAAGCGCCTGGGCTTTGGCTTTGGCGGCGGCCATCTTCGCGGGAGGGTAATCGAGGTCAAGATTCCATACTTTGGCGGTGTGGTCCGCCGAGCATGTTGCTAGGTGTTTGACGTCCGGGGAGAGGAGGACGCGGGTGAGGTAGTCTTTGTGTGCTTGGAAGGTGCAAATGGGGACGATGCGGGTGAGCTCGGCATCTTGAATCATGCGCCAGATGTATACATTGCCCTGGATTTATGATCATGAGTCTGCTGCAAGCTGATTGCGCATGATTCCGGGTGCTGGATGGGTACCTTCTTGTTTCCTGCGCAAAGGAGAGACCCGTCGCTCGCGACGCTCACACTATGTACGGCGACGTCGTCTTCGGGGATCAGCTGGTGGGTGCAGACACTCTCTCCCAGATCCCAGACACGAACGATACCAGCGCGATCTCCGCTGATGAGTTCGCCCTGGTTAGGGTGGATGACCACGTCGTTCACCGGGGCTTTATGGGCGTAGTTGCGCTGCAAGCTGCCGGTGCGCGTGTCCCACACTTTGACTGTGCCATCCTCGGAACTGGTGACCATCCACTTCCCCTCGCAATGAAAGGCGACACCCGTGATGTTATTCGTGTGGCCGTCGAAGGTCATGACCGGGTTGGGATTAGTAGACTTGATGTCATACAGTTTGACATTGTTGTGTCCAGCGGCGGCCAGGAACCGCTTGTCTGGCGTGATGCAGAGACGGTTCACCTGCGAGTCTGGATGCTGAATTGTTCGCGAACAGATTCCGGACAGCGCCTCCCAGAACCTGGGAAGTAGTCAGCGACAGCGCTTAGTTCAGATGCAGTAACTGTCATGTCCATACCGAATAGTGTGGTCATAACCCGCTGGTAGTCGCAAATTCGTGGGCCATTGGTTAGTCGATTATATGGAAGAGAGCGTACCTGTTGGAGGACTGAAAGTCTGATCGCTTACCTGTGCAGAGAATGACGCTCATTTTGAAAATGCGCGAAGGGAGAAAGAAAACAGAACGGCGGTGGAAAGAGGATGGAGAGACAAGGACTCGGAGCTGGTGAACATTGAAGGTCAGTCAGCCAAAGCCGCTCGGCTTCCTGCCGGATCTATGTTAAGGCTGCATCAAGGTAGGGACTGGCACGTGGGCGGTTAACTGGGCGGTGGTAAAGGCGGCACGACAGGCAAGGGATCAAAAAAAGCGGCGTTGATCTTCTCCATTCCATCTATTCACACCTCGACAGCTGCAACCCACGCAGTCTGTTTGCTTCAAAAGTGACATAGGCGCCTGTCTGATATTTGGCAGGCTACGTGCCTAGTGTCAGTCTCTGGCTCAGCCCGATCAACAAGATCTGAACACTTCTCATCGAGACTCCGAGTTTTCGCCCGGACTACTATGCGGCTTACGATCCCGTCAATGTTCGTATAGTGACTCGGCGCTCAAAGGAGGTACGGATTGCAGTCTTTATCTTTGTGACCAGACGCTTGAAAGGGACAAGTTTCTCATTTTCATTCTCAATAGCCACTGTGCGATCGATGGCGGGCATTTCTGGACTTTGAGTCCCGAGATCACCAGCACTTCCACGCTACCCTACCACCACCACCAACAACAGCATCTTACGGCTGTCTTCTGGGCGCGCAGAACCTGGTCACCAGAGTTCTCGCTGCCTAGCCTTTATCCCTTTCAACGTTATTGAGAGCTCACTTGAGCTGAGTGGAAGCATGGCTGAAGGTATTTCTACCTCGCTCCAGACCTGCCCTGCGGATTCTCAGAGGCTTCCTGCCCTTGAGGTTCTTCCGTCTCCCCCATGTATTTCTCATCTGCATGTGAATGATCCGGGGCTTACACCTTCCCCTGGGTCCCAGCTGCAGCATTCCTCCGATGTCACCCGAAATGGAGAACACGGCCAGTCCGTTGAAGAAGCCAAATCCACCTCAGTCGACCAGCACATAACGCCGACTCACACGGACCGACCCAAGGATATCACAACGGACTTGGGAGATGAAGAGACCGAAAACGCAACCAGCGAGCAAAGTACATCGCGCCTGTCTGAAGACTTGTCGGAAACAACTGCGCCTCAGCCGGACCTTCATGACTCGCCTACTGCTCCTCCCACACAGACAGCGGAGGACTTGTACGATCCCTTATTCGATTCTGAACTAATGTTCAATGAGCTTGACGCCGCATTCGACTCACGCAAGCGAGCTGGCGCGGAAGCATTTGAGGAACCAGACCTCTGGCAGCAGGCCTCCAAAAGGCAGGCTATTGAATCAATTCGGGATGAAATCACAATAACGCCAGACAAAACACCGTCGCTGTCATCTCTCGACTCGGCCCTGCAGCCTGATCAAACCGGAACTGGTCCTCACACGCCATTGGACCCTGACCAGCAACCAACGCCCGCGGCTTTGTTCGAAGCTTTTGGTTCATTATTTGAGGATTCGCCCTTCGATGTTCCCATGGACTTTTCACATGATGGACTGCCTGACTTTGACTTCCATGAGCTAAGCCAGGAGCTGGCCAGCGTCAAGATGCCCACTGTCGCCATAATCGCCCCTGAAGACACCCCATCGATCAGCGAGATCACGAAAGAGCGGTTCTCTATTGATGACCAGGATCTGATTGACTGCACAAGCCGAGAGATTCTACAGCGCGTGCACCAAGAGCCGCCCTACGTATCGCCATATCCAACTTACGCCGGGCCGCTGGGCTACCTGCCATCTGCTCCCAATGTTCATGTCCAATGTATCGAGGTCGCAGAGGATAAGGCCAACTTTCGCTTGACATCTTTGAGAAATCGGGTGCAGCAGCTTTCAGTGGAGCGACACAAGCTGAGGACCAAACTGGACCATATAACGGAAATGAGCACGATCGACAGGCGAACGGGAAAGACGCACTACGAACTACTGCGCGAACAGAATGCTATGCTGCGACGGGTTTGCACTCAGCATCAGAACAGGGTGGAACGATACAAGAAAGAGGCGGATGAATGGAAGAGCAAGCTTCATGACCTTGGCACTGTCTATAACAACCTGCTATATGAGATCCAGGTACAAAAGCAGACGCCGGCGGTGGCGGGGATTCCTAATGGGTACAAACCTCCCCAAAATATCCAGCCTGCACCAAACCAGCGAGTTATTGCACCAGTACCCGGCGGTGTTGCTGTGATTCCAGCTCGTCCTGCAAATCCCGACCCCGCAGCATCTCTCCATCGCCCTATCGCTCCCAGCCCGCCCAAACGCGAACCGGTGACGATCGACCTGACTGCCGACGATCCAGCGGACACGGCCAGCCCAATGCCAGCGGAGAAGCAGCGTCAAGCAGAGATGCTCCAATCCCTTCGCAGCAAAAAGTACGCTTGGCTGACGGACGCTGACGCGGTCGACCGCCACAGTACTAGTCCCCGCCCACGGCAAGGCTTTTGCGGCAATGGCGGTGGATCCCAGGCCCTGGAAATGATGGGGGAGGAAGCAGCCGAACGGATCCGCAACCTCTCCGCCTCCGGGCTTGCGTCAGCCGGTCGCATCGAACCCTCCGATCACGATGATGATGATGATGATTTGGCTCGTATGATGGAGGAAGAGCTAGCGCAGGGTTGTTGATGCAGACCCTATCTGACGTAATTCATTTCTTCGACGTTTGTTCTCCATTTGCGAAAAAAAAATTGATACCCATATCTGAAGACATCAGATACCGTCGCGTCTTCCTGCAAGATATACATGTCGTTCTATTTTTTTTTTGTTTTTTTCTCTTTTTCGGGGGTTTTTTTTCCCCGCTTACCAAAGCAGCCCCTTGGCTTTCACAACTACAGGCCTATATCCTGTATGGCCATTGCATAGCTGCATTGTCGGTGTTATGTTTTATGCTCAGGTGTCCGACTAACCTGTTGTCATCGCTCACATAGTACTTACTAAGTATTTAGATACACGAGCTTACTATCGATCTATTGCCGGAAGGGGCCGCATGCATAGCCCGAGCTTCCACTTTTTGTTGTTATTTCCCCTTTCTCTTCCCGTCGACGCCGCCAATGATGACTTTCATCATCAGCGACACAGCCTCGAAAATCAAGATTTTTTTTTCTTATTGTGATCAATCTTAAAAGGAGATTCTCAAGGGCAAATGGTAATTCATGTATCAAAACAAAAACTCCCTAAGAAATACTTCATAAGTCATCAAGATCGTCAATTGAAGTTTACCCCACCCCCTCCCCCACCTGCTCTCTTGCATTTCAAATGTAGTAGAAAAGAAGTAATTAGGGGGAAAAGTTCGGTCTAAAATCACATAAGGTCCTTTCTTTTGCCCCGCGTTTCCCCCATTCCCTGGATCTATGGCATGTTGAATCGGATCAGTGGTAAAGACGATTGGTAAGGGGTATGTATGAGATGGGAATCGGGGGTGATGGGGCTTGGGAATCCTGTTGCGTGTGGTAGTAGTGTATGTGATGGAAGAAGTAGATGTGAGCGAGTATGTATAGGAGGTATTGTCGGGTGAAGGTGGGAGGAGAGAAACGAGGATCGGTGCAGGTGGGTACGTTTGTGATAACACGGTATATGTGTGGCGACGCGCTCACTCGCTTTGCGTCCCTTCAGCTCTGGAGAATTCTCACCCACCGAAAGGGACGGGATTAAAATGAAAGAATCAGATCCTCAACCCTTCCCGCTTCTCCACGTTTGACGCCTCCGACGAAGAAGCTGACGCCGGGGCCGTTTCGGTGTGGTGCTTCTCCCGATCCGTGCGCTTCAACTGCTTCCGCGCCTTGCGCCCACCGCAGCACGAGGCGCAGCAGGACCCCAGCTGCAGGATGAAGGCGAGGAGATTGAAACCCGAGGCGATCCACATGAACGCCAGCATGCGGGTGCCGAGGGAGGCGCCGATGTTGAGGTCGTAGTCGGAGGAGGTGAAGACGTTGCGGAAGATGATGAACATGACCGTCGCGACGACCGAGGCGACGATGGTGAACAGCGCGGTCACGAAGGTGAGGATGACGAAGGGGAAGGCGCGCAGGAAGACGAAGGTGCGGCGGCGGTGCTGCGGGTGGGCTTGGTTGATGGTCGGGTCGGCGGAGATGGTCTGCGGGGGCCGCGACGAGACGGCCAGCGGGGAGAGGAAGATCATGATGAAAGTGAGGACGGTGGCCGCCAGGAAGAGGCCGAACATCCAGTGCGAGGCAATCCGCGCGATCTTGAGGGCGGAGGTGATGTCCGAGGGAAGGGCAACTGGTTGTTGTTATTCTGGGTTAGATTGAGCCGGTAAGAAGATGTGTGGGGAGGAACGTACTGGTTGCGCCGGAGAGAAGCTCATTGAGGATGATCTCGACGGGGTTGAACCAGTAGAGAGTCTTGGGCTTCGAGCAGTTCGTGATCCCCTCGTCGAGATAGCCCTCGCAGAAATTCCAGAGTCCGACTTGATAGAAGTCGTGCAACCCGATGGTCCGGGCAATGGTGTTGATCAGGACGGCATTGGGGACGGAGAGTGGGATGATATTGGCCAGGTCGATCTTGAGGAAATAGGTCTCTCGGATGACGGGTTTGTCGGAGACATTGCCAATCACCACCAGAAGCAAGAAGATCCAGGCAATCAGGTAGCACAGCGAGCGGATGATGCGATGCCAGACGACCTTGGACCGTGTCCTACCGGCTTGCGGTCGTTGGGCGGACTTGTTGAATGAAGGAAGCTTTGCCATGGAAATCGGCGCAGCTATTGAGTTCGGATCAGGGCGGATGATTTCGAGGTGAAGCCCCAAGGAGTTAAGGGGGGGGGATCAGATAGTAGCAAGCTACACAAATAAAAGAGGAGGCTGATGGTCTGAACGAGTGGCAGCGTGGATGCAGAACCGGAAAATGCAGGGCTGGAGAAGAGCTGCTGCAGAGGCGCAGGAAAGTGCGTGGATGTATATACTATACACCCAAGGTCCCAAAAACCCAACCGACCACAGTGGATGACGTTACACCTCCAGGAACCACGTGCTAGGAGAAATGACCCAAACTGTCAGGGTCTTTAGGTTTAGCAGAGGGGGGAAAGTGAGAAATCCAATGATAAGGACTATAGGGGGAAAGGGGAAAAAAAGAGGGAGAAGATGAAGAGAGTGGCAGAGACTGATGAGGTGGACTGAGGTGGAAAGGGGATACAAGAGGAGAAAGATCGGACAAAAGTAAAATTATCAGGTTGAAAAATGAGAGACACAATGGAGACTGTAATGGGGGTGTAACAGCTCCGCCTGGCGGTTTAGTCGCACGTAATGATGGCTGCGGCGCCCAAGAAGGAAAGGATAGGATCTAGACCCTCAGGGACGGTTCAGCCCAGTGGCTGGTGAGATTTGAGAAAGAGATATTCATACGAGTACGGAGTTGAGCGTGGGCGCGCCACTCAAGGGGGGGGGGGGGGGGGGGGGGGAAGCAGATGGCCCAGTTGAAACTAGATGATGATCGTGGACGATTTTTTCTCAATTGAATTGAATTGAATTGATTGAGTGCAATGAACAATCTTCATAGGGCCTGGAAGACAATTGACTGGCGATGGACTGCCTATCAGGGATGAACAAGCGATGAATTGATCTGCCTGGAAAAGCTCAGGGAAAGTGATTGGGTGGATTAGACGCCTGCGACGTCACTTGAGGCAGTAGCGTGGCCCCACTTGGTGACTGCCAAGAACGCCATGCGGGGCGCTTACCGGAGCCGATCCTCCGATCGTCTCTTGCATGACTGGATGCACTCAGGACTGACGAAGTACCGAGTATACTCAGTAGAAAATGCTCAGGAGTCGAAAGTTCTCGTCTCAGACCTCAGACAACAGAACAACCAAGGTGGTATACCATTGATGGCTCTGGTCTCAATGGACAAAGCAAACCAATGCCCACCAAGCCCACCAAGCCCACCAGACATGTTGTGCACCATCCTGTAATCTAAACGGAACCCGTGCGATACAACTAGTCGATTATCAGTTTAATTTTAGCTCTGCATCTCCCATCGCTGTTGGCATCGACTTCTTTTTCCGAATACAATAAAATGTGTCCTCACTTGAACAGTGCATACCATTCAACTCTAAATCTAACCCCACCACATACCGTGTCAACCACGTCGGCATTTTCGCCAAGCGGTTTGAGCTTCGCTTAGATTTGCAGATCTTGATATGCAGCCCATACTTGGGGGTTGATATGGAGTTGGTATGCGACCCTAATCACGGACAATAAACCCCCATTCTTACAAGCTGTAGAGGAACAAGCTTAATTGTGCAGTTTAAAGTGTAGTGTTGCGAGGGGCTAGACCAGAATTCGGTATTTGAACCAACCTTGGGCCGTTCACTTTAAAAATTCATCTGACAAAAACAAAAGGGCCCGAAGTTAAAAAAGGTTCAGCGTGGCGCAAGTTTTAGGTTAAGCAAGAGAATGTCGTCATTGGTTGAAACGGGGGCAAGGTTGCAGCCTAATCAAGTAATGAGGACCATTGCAGGGGTTGTCCTTCGGGTTAATTTCCTGTATCAACATTTCCCTGAAAATACTCATACATACACACTTTCCTCCCTCCCTTTTACCCTTAGCCCTTTTTCCATCATCGGGGGATATTGTTATTTTATTATTCTTTTTGGCCCATCAGGCACATTACCCTCACGCCTGATCTCTCGTGCAACTTGACATTCTTCTTTCATTCTTTACACCTATCTTTTTTCTTAGACCCCCCTCTCATATATATACATACAAGTCATACAAATTGAGACGGCAGTTCCCTCAAGTCGCAGCGCTGCGCCCCTCGCCTCCGACTTCCGCTCTTCCGCCCACCCCGGCATCATGCGGTTGATCGCTCATCTGCTCCCCCTTCTGCTGGCCGGCATCCTACCCTCCTATGCCAAAGATGAAGCCACAACAATCACTTCAGCAGGGGATGGGGCACTCGTCCTGACCGGATCGATCACCACCTCCATTAGCGAAGCGACCCTCCCGACAGGTGACTATCTCTCATACGCCTCGACGATCACGCTTTCCAACCACCACACGACCGGAACTAGCACCAAGGTTGGGGTCAGCACCATCACCGATGCTAGCTCCTCGGGCAATGCAACGGCCACGACGACAAGCTCGCGCTCGAGCACTAGCTCGAACTCTGTGACGCTGCTGATGGGTGGTGGCCACCATACCATGAATGGCACAGCCAATGCGACGACGACCTCCACCACCTCCGCAACATCGACCCCGGTCGTCAACACGCAGCCCTGCAATGGCTACTCCGACTTCTGCTCGCGCAAGTACTCCAACATTACCATGGTCGCCGCCCACAACAGCCCGTTTGTCAAATCGGGCAACGCTGCGGCCAACCAGGCCTATAAGGTGACGGATCAGCTGAATGATGGCATTCGCATGCGTAAGTCAATGAATGGGCCGGAGAACTGCGCAACATAGACTAATACGCGTTATCCTCCGCAAAAGTGCAATTCCAGACCCACTTGATCAACGGGACCTTGTATCTCTGTCACACGAGCTGCGAGATGCTCAACGTTGGCACGCTGGAGGACTACCTGACCACCGTGACCACCTGGATCAAGACGCACCCTTACGACGTGGTCACGATCCTGATCGGCAACTACGACTACGTGGATCCGGGAAATTTCACGGCCCCCGTCCAGAACTCGGGGCTGATGGACTATGTGTGGACGCCGCCGAAGATCCCCATGGCGTTGGACGACTGGCCGACGCTGTCGAACATGATTCTGTCCGGGAAGCGCGCGGTCGTCTTCATGGACTACCAGGCCAACCAGACCGCCTACCCGTGGCTCATGGACGAGTTCTCGCAGATGTGGGAGACCCCGTTCTCGCCGACCGACGCCGCATTCCCCTGCACGGAGCAGCGCCCGCCGGACCTGTCGGTCCAGGACGCCAAGAACCGGATGTATATGGCCAATCACAATCTGAACCTGGATGTGAGCATCGGCAGTATCAGTCTGCTGATCCCCAACACGGCCATGCTGAACCAGACCAATGCGGTGTCGGGCTACGCCAGTCTGGGCCTGATGGCCGAGAACTGCACCGGTGAGTCTTTCTTCTGCTTTGCCCAACGCAAAGCGTGTACTGATGTGTGCATGATACAGATACATGGGGCCGGCCGCCGAATTTCCTGCTGGTCGACTACTACAACTACGGCAACTTCAACGGGTCTGTGTTCGAGGTGGCTGCCGAGATGAACAACGTCACATACAGCGGCACATGCTGTGGGACGGCCTCCGCGGCCCCGATAGTGCTGCCGGGGCCCAACATGCTAGGTACGTCGTTCGTGGTGATGGGAGTGTCATTGGTTGGATGGATGTTTTAGCTTTTTGAGTATATACCTTATATAAGTTTGTTTATTCTGATGGATCACGAGACATGAGCGTTGTATGATGAATTGAAGAGATATATAGTGCTGCCAAATCAATAATCCTTGTGGACGATAGTTCAATCGTAAATGCGCCCGCAGATGCATACCAGTACCGGGGACTTACTTGAGTATGTATAGTCGTATAGTCAAAACGGAGTACTTCCTATTCTGCGATGATGGCGAATGATTGCAATTGGGATAAAGTGTCTACTCGAGGAAAGCGCTTCGCTGCCGCTTGGCATCGCGGTGCGTGGTCTATATTTGAAGTTAGTCAACGCTACCGGGTGGTGCCCAACGTACGAAGCTGTTCGTGTGGAATAGAGGTTACCGGGGATGGTTCGCTTCGTTTCCGGGGATAATTTGATACCCGGATTTTATGTATGTACAGTACGTATAGTTCTCTGGAGAAATTGAGTCAGTCCATCATGTGACCCAACTCCGTCTATGCGGAGAATGAGCAGAGGTAGTAGTCCCAACCTCCTGCAGTATGCCATGCCAAAATTCCCATCCGAGGTGTCTGTCGAGTCACGATGACCTGCCCATATCTTGACCCTCGAGGCGACCCAATCCCCCGAGAGCAGGTGCTTGGATGCGGAAGCTCGGCAGTCGTTCTGCGCCACGAAGGCGCTGCCGAGCCCAGAGGGCCTGTGGCTCGACTGGATCGTCGAGGGCTGCTGGGACGGGGCATTTCGCAGCGCGCACCGCCTCCGGCGATCGAGCGTGTACGCCGGCTCCCTTCCTTCTTGCGTGAGTCCTAGGTATCAAGGAGTATGCGAGAGATCGGCCCATCACGACGAGGTACACAGCCAGCCCGGGATAGTCGTTACGGTTACGGCAGGGAGATCAAAACACCATCCCCAAACGGGACTAGCACGCACCTGACCCGCGCACCTCCCCTCTCTCTCTCTCTCTCATCTCCCCGCCTTAACAATAAATCAAGCCTCATCGATCATCAGCCATCCAGAACCTGTTAAATCAACTCCGCCCTCCACCCTCACATCAATTGACCCCAACCAACCACCAGGGCCTCTCACCACTCCTCGCCTCCTCCCCATTAATCTTATTTCCCTTTCTCCCCACCAGCGAATCAAAATGGTCGACATCCTCCCCCTAAGCAGCTACCCCTCGTACATCGACCTCCTCCCCTCCATCCAGACCTGCAACATCACCAACCTGCCCGAGAACTACTTCCTGAAGTACTACCTGTACCACGCGCTGACCTGGCCGCAACTGTCCTTCGTGGCGGTCGTGCGGCCCAAGGACGGCTACAGCAAGCACCATGGCGGCCGCGACAGCTACCCCAAGGTCGTCGGCTACGTGCTGGCCAAGATGGAGGAGGAGCCCACAGACGGGGTCGCGCACGGCCACATCACCTCGCTGAGCGTGATGCGCACGCACCGCCGGCTGGGCATCGCCGAGCGGTTGATGCGGATGAGTCGTATGTTTTTCTACCAATTTCCTGGGGGGGTTGCGTTGCAGTGTGGAAGAAAGGAAGTGGGGTGGGTGGATAGTGGCTAATGCTGACGGGAAATCTGATGCGGGCAGAACGAGCAATGGCCGAGTCCCACCGCGCGCAATACGTCTCGCTGCACGTGCGCGTCTCCAACACCGCCGCCCTCCGCCTCTACCGCGACACCCTGGGATTCCAGGTCGAGTCCGTCGAGAGCAAGTACTACGCCGACGGCGAGGACGCCTACGCCATGCGCATGGATCTGTCGGATATGTGGGTCGACTGGGCCAAGATCGAGCGCGAGGACCGCGAGCGCGCCGCCCAGGAGGACGGGAAGGACGGCGATGAGGGCGAGCCCGTCGGCGAGCTGGGCAAGGCCGCCGACGACAAGAAGGAGCAGGAGAAGATGGTGCGCGTCAAGGTCGGCCGCGGCTTGGGCGTCGGCGATCTGGTCGAGAAGAATGAGGCGGCGCAGCCGGGTAACTAGAGCCTTTTTTTCTTGGACATTCACAAGAAAACAGAAAAATCAAAAAAGTTTAGACTAGAACAAAAAAAAGTGGTTGGAAGGTTGGAAGGTGGTTTACTCCAATACGGTTACGGCTAAAATGCTTGTATGTACATCACAACTCCACATAAGAATGCCTCCGACTTGCAACCCATACACATATAGACAGACAGACAGACAGACAGACCGACGACACCTTGCTATGCATATCCCATCCCGCTTGCTAATTCGACACGACGCTAACCTAATTAAGTTATGCTGGCCCTCGTTTTATGCTAACCTTATTTGCGTCTCGACGGGCCTCGTTGCCCATCATCTGCATTCTTTTCATCGGCTGACTTCTCAGTCCCTTCAGCCGACGAAGTAGGCTTCTTGTTACTGCTCTCGGACTTCTCTGTGGGTATCACCTTGTCTTCTTGTTTCTCTGCATCGCGCGATGACTCCGTACTCGGTGCACGAACCGAGCTGATCTCACAGGCCTCCGTCTCGGCCGCAGACCGTACCGGAGACGAAAGTGATGCAGACGATCGGACCGTCGACGGAGCCTCGACGCTATTCTCCAACTTGAGAGTCTGAAGGCGCTGCTCCAACGCCGCATCCGAAGCAGGTTCGGACGTCTGTCGCGCTCGTTGCTCCTGGCGGCGACGGTTGCGCTTCAGCCGTCGTTGCTCCCGCTGTTCCTCACGGGCCCGCCGTACGACATCCCGGAAGGCCTTGCGCGTCGCCCGCGTTTCCTCCTTCACGGCGCGCTTCTCGGCCTGTTTCCGCTGCTGCTGTTGTGGCGATTCCCATCGGCCCCAACCGTGGCGCCACTGGCTTCGGCCCGAAACGCGGTTCTGCCGTCGTGATTCTTGCAGAAGATCCAGTTGCCGGCGGAGGCCCACGGCTTGCTCGTACAGAGCTCGGTCATGGTAGTCATCCAGCGACAACAGCTGTGCGCGGACGGTAGCTAGATCGGACGCGCTGAGCTCGGATGTGGTTGAAAAGGTATCGATCGATGAAAAAGATGTGTCCGAAGCTTCTGAGCTCACGGATGCCCGCCGCGTGCGTTCCGATGGTGTTGAGACCGGCTGTTGATTTGTGATGATGCCTGTTGTCGTCTCTGTCGAAGCAGCGGTGGGTTGGGTATACGGTACGTTGTAGTATCCGATCTTCGGGGGCTCGCTCGCACCCCACTCGTTCTGCGGGCGACTGGAGAACCCGGTGAAAGCGTCGCCCATTTTCCGTCCCGAGAGGCCAGCTTGCTCCTCTAACCAGCGGCTATGAGCAAGGGCCTGTTCTTCGACCTGTCGACCGTAGTGTTGGGCTTGTGCGCTGATGTGATCACCATATTGTGCGGCTTGTTCGGTAATGCGTTCACCGTATCTCTGGGCTTGGGAAGCCAGTGATGCTATCCACCCTAGGGGCCCACCTTTGGATTGGCCCTGAATTTGACCAGGATAACCATATGGGGGTGCATTCCAACCCCACGTATTTGGTGGTGGATACTGTCCCGGTGGAGGCGGAGGCGGAGCGGCGTAAGGATACACAGGAGGTTGGACGGGAGGGACACCGGGAGGGTTATAGAAAGCAGGAGGACCATATGGGGCGGCATAGGGTCCAGGAACTGGAGGAGGCGGGTAGGGCGGGAAACCATAGGGCCCGGGACTAGGTGTAGCATTTGGTGGAGCGGCGGCAACCTGGCCTGGGGTCGTTGGTGGCGCATTCGGTTCCTGCTGACGAATTCGACCGGCATTCGAGGCAGCCTGTCCGGTGCGGCTTGTTGCAGCGGGATAACATTTTGGGCATAGGGACGATCGGGGCGTCCGTTGAGGATCCATCACGTAATTATACATCACACGGGCCGACCGCGGTTCGAAGAAGTATTGATTCCATTCCATAATCACCGCGGAGATGCGCCGCTTGCGATCCGCATCGCTCTCCTGAGGTCGATCCTTGCGATCGCGCTGGATCTCGGCTCTGAGTTGACGGGGTAGTTCGGAAGACGACGACGCAAGTCCTAGATGTGGGGGGAAAAGACACCGTAGAAACATGTCCCAGTCCTGCTGGGTGATGTCCTCCGTCCGCGTATTCCAGCACCGCGGGCGACGGGGAAAGTCTTTAGACTGACTCCGTGGATAGATAGTGACGCAATGTTCTGCGATCGGTCGCTCGGGGTTCTGCGCTGGAGCGGCTCTCTCGGCGAAATAAGCCGCTGCTGAGGTAAAATGGGCGGGCAGCGAAGCGGAGGCCGCTGTACTCTCACTTCCTGCAAGACTCGTCGCAGGACTGGCGGGTGGTTCATACGACGCTGCATCACCGCCCCGCAGGCGGAGCAAGGTCCGATTAACTTCTGCAGATGCAGCGGCGTTTCTATTGCTGGCTTGGGCGATCATTGGATCGACCGCGGAGTATGGCGGCGGAGGAGGAACCTCCTCCGAATCCATGGCGAAGGCGTAGAGCGATTTAAATTGCAGAAGACAGAGCGGGGAGCGGCTATCAAAAGTGGTAGATCAACCTTCAGGACCATCAATCGTCATCCATTGCGCTCAAGACGACATAGAATACCCACCGGCCCAAACGGACGCAGGGACAAGGGGGGGAGGCGCTGGAAGGCAGCAAGATTGTTTAACTAGTACATCATCGGCGAACGCCGTCAGTTATGGTTCGAGTTACAGACAGGCTCTGGGGAAGATCAAGACAAGTGGTAGGGAACTCACATGTAAAATTTAAAGCCTAACTAAAGACGCGCCTGAGGGTATATGAAGGAAGGTTAATAATACTAGATGACGAGGATCCTGGGAGGGAGGGGGAGGAAGTTCGGAGGGGAGCGAGGGAGGAAGAGGAGGCTGAGTGGGAAGTGGGAATCGTCGGGCGACGGGCGGAGGATCGGCGATTGCACTGAGAAAGTGCCAAATCACGGGGCGGTTTTAGTTTCCCCGCTGACTGACTTCCGCCCTATCGAGTCGATCACTATAGCTGTTTCATGTTGAGTATAGTTCAAGATTACTATGTCTTATACCTGTTTGTATAGTACAGCACAGAAGTATCTGTAGTAAATGTCATCACTGATATATCTAGTCCTATGTTCAAATCTGTTGTTGCAACCAGACAGCCACATATTTACTCCGTCCTGCTCCCAACGCCATGCCTATATGCAATAGCAAAAGAATTCCTGGAATATTTCAATCCCATGCATCCCCCCATCCGTCATCCTCATCCTCATCTTTGGGTTTGGTATCAATCTTCTTGGCGGGTGCAGCCGTCCTCGATTGAACCACGCTGCCACGACTCGATGTACGCGACACAGTCGCAGAGCTAGATTTGTTCAAGCCCTTAGGCAGCGGCTTCTTGACCTTCGACTGTGCCGCAAGCCAGCCTGCAAAGTCCGGCTCCCCGCCATCATCGTATGGCACTGCGGCTGCCTTGGGCGCCGGGGCCGGTACGGAAGGGCTGCTAATCGTGGCTGCCTCGAATGGATCCTCTTCTTTAAGCGCACTCCCCGCATCCTCATCGTCTATTGCACCCCAAGCGTCGTACACATCCTCAGGTTCTTCCTCCTTGGCCACCATTGGCGGCTGCTCAGACACAGATCGGTTCAGGGAATGACCCGCGGGGCGCGCTGTATCCTTGGGGACAAGTGGCGATGACCGAGTTGAACGAGGCACTGACGCAGAGCGCACAGGCTCTGGCTCGGCAGGCTTGACAGTATTTGCGGTGGGCTCAATTTCGCCATTGGCCGCCGTAAGCTTATTTGTGAAGGACGAAATCGCCCATCCCGCCCATGATTTGTCGTTGCTTGTTCCAATGCGAGCGGCGTCTTTGGCGGGTTCGGGACTGCTTGTGGATGGAAGCACCGTATCGGCCATGGTGCTGCTAAACTTTCGGATGCGCTGAAGGTAAAGGTCCAGAGTCTTATTTGCCTGGTCTCGCACCATCCTAATGTTACTGCATTAGCCCCAGCCCTACGTATGTTTTAAATGAGAATAGCGCATACTTCTCTTTATCCAGTAAAGAAGGGCAAATGGCGGGCAGCACTTTGCCCGCACAGTCCTCTTCCGAAAAGAATTCCATCGTTGCGCCTAACGCGAGTAAGCCAGCACTGCGAGCGTGCACAAACGGGTCTCGAAGGGATCTTGAGAACGCTGCGATGAGAACTTTGGACCGCGACTGCCCACTGTCAGCAAAGGAAGTCAGTATAGCTCTAGATTACACTTACACCCTGTCCGAGATTCTTTGCTATTTTGCCCAAGCAGATAGTTGTATTGGTACGAATTCCAGGTTGTTCATCGTTCGCAGTCCGCGCCAAATATTTCAACAGATCACCATTAATAGTGCGGTCGTTGAGCTTGTTGATAATTGGCAAGACTGCCTTGACTGTCTGCTCGCGGACCACGGGCGCCGCATCCGTGAAGCCGGAGGTCTAGTATGGTCGTGTTAGCAGGGATCAACAAGCAAAGCGGCGATTGACCTACAATCTGAGGAAATATTTTATCATTGACAACCTTCTGGGGTAGGTTATCAATCATCATCGGCAGATGGTCCAGCAGACAGACCCGCAGAGCCCGATCAGGGTTGCCAAACAGTCGGACAATCACTGGGGTAAGCTTCGCGTTGAACTCCTCCGATGACAGCTTAGAACCGATCTTTAGAACAGCACTGAGCACTTTCGGGCCGCCTCCGCCAAACTCGACAGACTTCAGAAGTTCTGGAAGCACCTTCATCTTGAAGAATTCCTCAGGGAAGTCCTCCGACAAGGAATCGAGCTCGCTATATCAGTTAGCATTACTTGAAAGTCTTGAAGATTAAGAGCAAGAACATACTTTACGAATTCTTCCCGTTCAACATCGTTTTTCAGGCCCAGACTTTCTATATCGTCGCATAGGCGAATAAGCGGTGTCTGGAAAAACCCGCCACTCTTCTTGCCCTGCTCGACGAAGTGAGCGGGACTCAGCCGCAGCTTAGGGTTGGCTGTGCATAGGCGTTTATAACTCTGGTGCATACTAGGTGGTATGTTGGTCGTCTTGCCCACCTGGTCAACACCTGTGAAGCTGCCATTGAAGACTTCATAAATCAGGATTCCCAATCCAAATGAGTCAATAGCTGTGAGCGGGTTCCGCTTGATGATATCCCAACCTCCCTTGACAACTTCCGGAGGTGTGTATCGAGCCGCGTCGGGTAGAAGACTGGCATATGTCTGATCAAGAGGTCAGCACTCCCCAACCTCCAGCACTTTAGCAGAGGGTCTCACATATATAACGGCGTCCTCTTCATTCATTGAACTTAGAATGTCAAACCCTCCCAGCTTCCACTCACCACTTTCACCTGTGAACACCGACGAGGCTCTGACGGCACCGTGGACGGACGATGCATCGGCGTTTATGAACTTAAGAGTGGACTAAGACCAGTATTAATCAATGTGGCAGTCACCACCTCTGTTCAGGACAGCAAGCACATACTGCGACAGCATACAGACCCCATTTGGCCGTCTCCACGCTCAGGCTTCTCCGTTTCACGTGCCAGGACAGAGGTACAACACGCTCGGTAACGATGTATAGATTGGCATCCGTCTGCAAGTTATTAGAGTCGTTGCCCTCAGCAGGAAGTGCCGGGTGCAAAGCTGCGCGTTACCTCAATCGTGTCCAGAACCTTGATCACGCCGGGATGTCTTAATGTTCGAGACTTTCGCACTGCATTTTTGGCAAGCGGTAACCGAGCCTTGTTTGCGGCGATATCGAAAGTAAACACACTACAAGGGGACCCGTCGTCCTATTTGTGGCAGCACATTTCACATTAGCTCTCATTGTCAATGCGACCCCACGACAAAGTACATAGAGCTTCCTACCCGTTTCGTAGCATTATGAAGAGCCCAAATAGAGTCAGCAATATCAACTCTGTCTCCGAAGGAATATGGAAAAGAGCTGCCTTTGGCGATGGCAGATGCGACAGCGGATTTGAGGAAATCCATCGTCGCAAGTGGGGATTGGGTGATAGGGAGTAGGCCGCTAGCTGGTCTCAAGCAGCTCCGGTCGCAACCGTCGTTCGAATATCGGGTAGAATGTAGGAAGAGTGTAGCAGACAACAAGCGCAGTCTAGAATATGATCCAACGGCAGGAAAGGGTTGCAGCCCCCAAATTGACAATTGGGGGGGGGGTGGTTATAGGCGGAGTAGGAGAGGGGGAGATGACAATCAATAATAATACATAAGATGATCCGCGGGACTCGGCCAAGATGAAGGCGGAACAAGACACTGGCCACACTGAGTGAGAGTGAGTGGGCTCCAGCTCCAGCTTAAACTGCCCCGCCCCGAATCAGGCTTAGCGCCCGGAAACCCAGTGCCTGAATTCTTTCTTCCGCCCGCCTCAGCTCAAGCTTCGTCATTCCATCTTCATCTTCCTTCATCCCATCGCGTCTAATATCCTCCTTTGTTTACAGTTTCAAGTGACTGGACTCAACCTTTTTATGATGCTGATAATGAACAGTGTCTTCCCACATTATGCTTATCTCTCATGCCTACTGGTATAGTATTTTTCGGTTCTCACCTCGTCCCACCTTCAACCTTCTGAATCACTCTACCATGTCTATTTACCATCTGCATTCTGATATCCTCGATATCCTACCAAGAGGAGACTTACGCCAGACGCCCTCTCCCTCCCCTTCCCCCCTCCTCCTCCCTATTTCCCCGCCACGATCTTCATAGTCTCCAATGATGCGAACCTGGTAAAAGGTCAGACCGTGCCGTCCGCCTCGAACAACCACCCATTCTACCACTCCAAACCACCACCGCGCCCTCCTTGACTACCCACCTCGACCTCATCCATCCATCCCCTCAGCTTCCCACCACCAAATCCACAAGAGACCTACGAATCCCACCCACCCAAAACCTCCCCACAGCCTCCTACCCACTCACCCCACGACATCACCCTCTTCACTCCTCATTTCCCAACCCCTCCCCCCATGCCCTCCATAACCCCATCTCCTCCCCCTCTCCCCCTCCACCTTACCCTTCACAACATAAAAAAAAAAGCAGACCCATGTCCACCACCTCGAAACCAAGGGCTTTGTCAAACCCCATACAAAACCTTCTAGTCAAAGGACATGTGTATAGCATATGCGCCGCAATTTGGGGTTTCTGGTTCCGCTTCACTTTTCCATGAGGAACTTTTTCTTAGAAACTATAAGGCTGCGGCGGACATTTTTCCTCGTCTCTTTTCTATAGCCCCCCCCTTCCCCTGTTAATCCCTTTTATCTTGTCTAAACTCATGAACGATTGGGGACGTGAGTTCTGACGGCGATACCGGGGGAGGAATTTGGGAGAGGGGGTTATGGAAGGGCGAGGTTTGTGGGATTTGATGGTAACTGCTGTGGATGTGACTGGGCGCGGTGTGAGAGGAAGAGTGTGGGGGTATCATGGGGGCATGGGGTGGAATGGGGGAGTTGGGGATACTTCTACTCTATACTGTATGGTATATGGTATGTGGTATATGGGGAAGGAGGTTGGGGAGGGGATTGAGGTGTTGTTGAAGGGTAGCTGTGGGTTCTCATGAGGCTTGGTATATGTGGTTTGCTGTGGAATCGAGGCCCTCTGGGGACTAGGTGGTGTGTGAGGTGCGTTGGGATGAATGGGGGGTCATGGATCATGGGAGGAAAGGGTGGAAGTACTGCGGTGGTGGTGGTAGTTATGGTGTTGGTCGGTTGAGGTGGATTGAATGACGACCAAATTTATAAACTGAAAAGACCTGAGGAGATTGCACATTCCCCCCTACTATTGTCATTGTTCTGTGGTGTGTCACTTTCCGAGGCGCAACACGCTCAACTTCATGACATAGAGTTAGCTAATCAGATTGAAGGTTCCATTGTTTTTGAAGTTACTAGCAAATCACCCCTCAGATTTCTCCCTCTCGTCCTTCTCATCCATATCTTCCATGCATACCCCTTCCCCGTCATAACCTCAGCCCCCTTCCATCATGCTCGTGCAGAACTACATCGGCATTTCTCAATAGCTTCCACTGATACATCATCCTTCATGCCCCCACATTCTTCCACATGCACTTGTCCAATCTTTCATCCTTCACGCGAAAAAAAAGGTAACTGAAGCCTAAGAAGCAAACAAAAATGAGAAAACGAATAGACCCCCAGAACACCGTTGCCATAAAGCAATGACTTGAACAGTTCCTCATAAATGGCATGGTCGGATCCAAGATCACTTCCAACAACCTTCGTAAAGGTCCGTGTAGGAAGGTCACGGTCTGCGTCACGCTCATGGCTCTCCCCACACCAACCCGAGAGAACCGTGATCGTTCACCCTGTAGCTGATTCTCTGGCAAATCTCTCGGAACTCAAGCCTGGCGCGGCCGAGGGACTCAATATAAGACTGACGAGTCGTCTACTGCAGTTAGTCTAGGCCGCACACGGAGATCCAGATCCAAAGACGAACGCACCAAAATGTAATGGCAATCCGCTCGCCTGAAACTATATGCGTCTTCAATATGCGAAGAGCTAGGCGCGAAGGTAACATGGTACTGATAGATTTGAGAAACACTGAGGTGTGGGGTCGGCACGGAAGTGGAGTCGCCAACGGTGAGTTGATCTTGTTCACGGCTAAGTGGAGTCGAGTAATGCCCATCGAGGGTCAACACAGCCCTCCGGATAGGTTGTCAAGCCTGCGATTTAGGGTCTTGCAAAATCAAGAAGAGATTCATTTCACTTCGTCTGCAGCTTCCTGGGGTTGGGCACCAGACGTGGCAGCCTGTGGAGGCTGAGCAGGCACCTGAGGTGGACCTTGAGGCATCTGATTATAGCCGGTACTGGGGTTTCGGTGTTGGTGAGGGGGGTAATGATGCACTTGGTGAGGACTAGACTGGAAATGGGTTTGCTGCTGCTGGGGATAATTTCCTCGAACCGGGGGCACTGCCAGCCGAATGTTAGCATGCCTGTGACTGGAAGAGCGCGCGTGGGCGATTACATACTGTGCCCTGGCTGCTGGGAAGGGTGCACCGGTTGTCCATGCTGTCCGGGAGACATAAACATGACAGGCTGTGGGGGCTGGCCCTGCTGAGAATTCTGGTGCATCATCATTGGGGCACCGCGGCTAGGGCTAGGATAACCACTATGGGGCTGGGGAGGCGGTGCATGTTGAGGATAAGCATGGCCAGGGTTGGGCGAATACATCTGCATCTGAGGCGTGTAGGGAGCCACACCTTGAGGAACGCCCATGTAAGGCCCACTAGACGGTTGCTGAACCATCATGGGTGCACCCATGCCAGATTGTGGGTTCACGAACTGAGGAGTGCCAGGATAATGTCTCATATGAGCGGGTTGCGGGCCGCCCTGGTTGACGTAGAACTGTGGCATAGGCTGTCCGAACGCTAATTGAGCATGGGGTGCCATAGGAGAAGGATAACCATGCTGGAGACGGGGAGAAGGGAACATTTGAGACGTTGAAGCTGACATCTGCATACGATGGGGATCATCGAAATGGGGTGGACCCGAACCATGATGCTGCTGAGGATGCAGATGAGGGCCGTGAGGAGGGCCAGTGGTGGAGGGCATACCCTGGGAGGACTGCGGATACTGGAAGGGCATCTGTGGTTGATGCGGAATCGACGAATTTGATGCAGAACGGTTCTGGGGCGAGATAGCCGGCACAGAGGCGGGGGGCTTGAACATCTGTAGATATGTCTTCTCTTCGTTGCCGGCAGGCACATCCCAGGTGGGCAGTGTTTTATAGGCAGGGGGTATGCCACCATTGAACGTGTAGTCTTTGTCACTTTTCCCTGTGCTTTCCTTCTTCATGCGCTTGATAGGATTGAACCGCTCATTAAGGGAGGGTCGCTCTGAGATTGGGCGTGGCTTCTTTGCACCGAAGAAAGCGGACGGGCTAGTGGCCCGCGAGACAGAGCGTCCACGAGCAAATGGAGATGAGATGGTTGAGGTGCCGGGCGTGAACGTGTTCGCTGCAGGGTTCGGCTTGAACTCCATAGCTCTCACATTGAATTTGGTTGAAACCGCTGAAGTCGGGGTCTGCGCCTTGGTCGGGCTGGTGACGGTAGGGTGATCGCCGGCAGGGCCGCTTGGCGGGCTGCGAACCTCGTTGATGGGCAACGGTGCAGGAATCGCTCCCGTTGTAGCTCCCTTCCTCTGCTGCAAGTTATCAGCTAGACGGTGGCCAAGCATTCCTGTGGCTTGACGGCCCGCGTGCATGTTCTGCTGGGGAAGTCGCCCAGCGGGGGCACCATTGGGGCCGGTTGGTGGGAACATTTGGCGACCGCGGGAGATATTGGAACGGTCGGTCTGGGCTGGAGGGGGAGCGGCAGTAGCCGCAGGAGCGCGGGTCACTGGCTTCGTTTCTGTGGATTCTGGGGAGGCTTTTGCTGCTGTTTTCTCCTCGGCATGTTGCTGGGCTCGCTGAATGATCTCTTCCTGCTTGTGGGGGTCCTTGGCAAGGATCGGCACTAGGTCTTTGGGCACAGGGGTAGCTAGTTTGAAGTTTTTAGAGAACTTCATCAATTCGTTGAGTTTGATGGTGCGGTCGTATGAGGCCTGATTACGGCGACGTTCCTGCATCTTCGCTTTTTCATTATCGGCGAATCGACGGAAAGAGTCCAACACCTCAACCTCAACATTGGCAGTAGCATTACTGGCAGCGGGCACGGCAGGGCCCGGTTGAGGTTTGGATACTGCAGGTTTCTTTTCCGCCTCAACAACGGGAGCGGGCGCTGGAGCGACCCTGGATGGCGTCGACTGGGCCTGGGCCGGAGCAGTCTCCTTTGGCGTATGAGTGCCAGCATCCTTCGGGACGCTGGGGGTCGACCGGGCAGGGGCTGCAGATGCGGAGAGAGCAGCGGATTGAGCGGCATTCTGCCTCCTGGCAGGTGGGGTGTACTTGTTTGGCTGTCCAGAGATGAGAGGTGGGAAATCCTTCTCATCACGGCGGACACCACTGTATTTCTCTTCTTCATCACCGTCATCCACAGACGCCAAACCTCGCTCTTCACGGACATGGACATTGTCCGTGTTTGTGCCTTCAATCTCGCGGGCAATCCGAGCAGCCTCTGCTTCCTTCAGCTTATAAGCAGGATCCGAGCGATCAATCCTGGTTGTGTAGATGTTCTCGTCGTAGCTACTAGTAGCGCCGAAAAGTCTTGCGTTCGCTTCGAACTGATCCCATCCGGACGAGGCATTTGCGCCGTCCAGGGACAAATCCACATCTGTGTCCGCTGCTGGCTCCCAGCGCTTCAACGTGCGCTCACGGATTGCGAGGTTGCCGGAGATGTCAGTATCGGTCTTAAAGCCTACGGAGGCACCTGAAAGGTTGTCAGTTAATGAAGACGACGCGGGGGCTAGAAACGTACCGTTCGGGGCCTTGGCAAGAACATCAGTGGTGGAAACATCGGACACTGCTATGTCGACTACATCTTTGACATCAAAGGACATGCTGTGATCCGGTGCAGAACCCATGAATGGGCTAGAAGCCTCACTCACTCCATTCGCTCTGTGCTGTTCCTGCTTATTAGGTCGTTGAACCATCTTCAGAAGAAACGAGGATTCGTTGGGCTCTAGAGACGCAGACGAGAAGATTCCGGTGTATTTCTCTCCAGTTTTAGTTGTAACAGTCGCAGTTAGCCCCTAATAATTGTTAGCTTCTGAGCTGTAATTTCAACGATCATCATGGCGGGATGGAGCTTACAATGAAGCTGGTGAGCAAGAACACAAGGCGATCATGTGCATGGTTATCAGGCGTGTTAGACTCTTTGGACGGTGTTCTAGATGAAGCAGGCTGCTTTTGGGGCATGTTGCCGTTCTGTTGTGCATATGAAGATCGCTGCGTGATTGGGTTTCCTTGTGACCAGGCCTTCTGGGAGTTACTGCGTCTAAGAGGAGAATTGTTAGTTAGTATTGGTCTAGACCTATGCCATGAAGAATAGTAGAGTTCCAGCGCAATAATCGACAATAGCGCGAGAAGATATGACCCTTGAACATCCAGGGAAAGGATGACGTAGAAAGACACAGGCGGGACAAGGCAACATCAATTGAGACAAGTTTCCATGGAATCACGCTCTCTAAGAGGAACCATGAAGTCAAGAAGGAAATAGGAGAAGACCAGAGAGCACAAGACCATGGACTTTCGAAGAGCAGCGGTGAATAGGGTGCAATGAGGTGACTCGGTCGGAAGAAAGGGTCGCAAGCAACAGGTAGCAATGAGCTGGACAACAAAACATACCTCTGCCCACCATCGAGCGGACTACTAGATTGACGCCGGTTTCCATCAGACGCCTTGTTACTGGCGCTGGATCTCAGTGTAGGGCGAGCGCTGGGATTCTGCGCATTGACGGCATTGCCGGATGCATTATTTGCGGCCGGCACGGAGTTGACAGTTGAAGCCATCTGGCTGGATCGCCAAGTGACGATAGAGCTCTACGTCGGCGCACGACGTAAAGTCGCAAACTGGAGGGACGGGAAGGCACGAAGCCAGGGTAACACACCGCCTGCGCGAACAGTGCCAGACGGACGGCGATAGAGGCTGGAGTGGGAGGAGGAAGCAGAAGATAGAGGAGCGCGGGGGTGGAAAGAAGAGGACGTAAAGCAGACCAGGCGAGCCAGCGACAAGTCACGGGACCTCCAATTGGATTTCCACCGACAGTTGAAGAGAGGGGTGGAATTGAAATGGAGAAAGAATAGAGAAACTAGGGTGGAGCAATAAGGCGAAGGAAGAACAGACGTTCAGAGGAGGACAAGAGAAGGGGGAAAGAAAATAATAGACAACGTCTTCGATCAAGACAGACGTCGTCAGGAGAGATTGTCAACCGGAGGAGGATTGATAGTAGGAGGGAAGGAAGGAGAGATCAATAATATTTTGGGGAGGGAGGCGGGCGCGGGAGGGTGTGGAGGGGAGGAGAGAAGCCAGAAGAGGTTGGCGTCAAGATTAGAGAGAGGGAGAGGGAGAGGGAGAGAGAGAGGTGTGGTGATGGAACTGGAGCTGGAACTGGAACTGGAACTGGAACGGGTACGGGTTTGCACTAACCACTTATTATTACGGTAAGGTCGGGGTTACCAGTTAAGCTTGTCAATGATTCCGGGTGGACATCAAAGACCCTTGGTTGGTGGTGCAAAAGCGTAGGTGGGGAAGACACCATGCTCATTTCCATTAACTTAACATGCTGCTGCTGCTGCTGCTGTTGTTCTCACCCCCATCGCAATGATGATTATCTTGTCTAATGAAGATTGGTTGGGTCGGGATGGATGCTACTGTACGCAATACTCTAGTTACTGTACGGAGTACTGTATGTACATAGTCTAAGTCAAGTGTGTTGGTGGTGCCGTCATGCTTCATTCTCACAACCTTTTCCCTCACCTATCACATTGTGTAGAAACCAGTATAAACTAGTAGTAAACAAGATCTTACTCTGGATAACTTCGGTCTTCTGTCTATCTTCTGATAGCCTTTTATGAAACGATACAAAGAAAGTGTTTCCCCTGTTATGCATCCGCTCCAGGGAATCAGAATGCAGAGATGCACATGCGTCTGTGTGTGTGCATCTGTTCCACCTCGCTACTGAGACGCACCCTGTCGCCTCACTCCACTTGCCTATGCCTTTCCCTCCGTCGGTTTGCCAATCTCAAATTCTCAACACCAATGGACTCGGCCCTTGCGGCCTGTCATAATCCACCCGAGCAGATTAGATCCACCGTCACTGGAGGTTCGAATACTATGTACAATAATAATACCAATTACGGACATGTTGGCCGGACCAGTACCCCCGAGATCTGGAATGACCCCTTGCTGCTTAGAACCTCTTCGTCCTGAGTCCACGTCTTCCAGGGCGCTTCATCTGATCTCTGTGCTGTCAGCGCGGCTGAACAGCAGCGGCGTAGGCGGCTCTCATCTGTGCAGAAGACGTTGTGACTCGAAGGAGATTCTCTACTGGTGATATCCTCGAGCAAGGGTTGACCGTACGGCCAACGCATCCGACAAATCTCAGACAGTGTTTAATCCACATACGAGTCAATCCCTGGTCTCGGAAGCGAACCTCCATCTGACTGTTGACTGGCGCTAGATCTGATGGGTGGTATCCCTAGTTTGAACCATAGGCTCGTGCTCTTCTGTGACCGTGGGGCGCAAGAGGCAACATCCGGCTTGGATGAGGCATGTTAACCCTTATCCCCAGGGAAAACAGCATGCGTGCTAAGGTAGTTGACCATTAGGGTATCGGTGTGTGAGAGCTTCAAAGCTGCAAATTGGGTCCAGGGTATCGCACAGCATCGTAGACCAATTAGCACTTTCTGTTGGAATAGCGGGAACGAACTACTAGGTACCTCCTCACTGAGAGATGGTGACAAAGTGGTCATTTAGGCCATGCGACATTCTGTCAAGTTAGACCATCCAACGGCAAACAAGTTGCGACTCGTGTGCAGTGAGTAATACCCAGAATCTAGGAGACTACCAGTCGTGATCCATTCTTGTAGATGGGACTCAGCCGGAGGTTTGGCTCTGATATAGTATGTCTTGTGTTGAGTTTAAAAATAGGCACAGGCTCGTTACGTAAGACAGGTTGAAACAGACAAGGGTGAAGTTCTCTGGTTAGGTGTTGCTACATCACCAATAGTGCAATCATGACTGGCTCGGAGAGGCAAATACGCAGGTAGTGGCATCGACTGACTATCAACGAATTACAGCAAGTAATCGGTCTCGCAGAGGGCTGAAGAAGATACAAATGCTGTTCCCGAAGCTAAAGGCTCGGGGGGGGACTCGTTAGTGAATACGACACAGAAGTGTACTTGACGGGTCGGTGTAGGTGAAAAGAGATACTGTGATACTGCAGTTCTCACTGATATGACAGCATGAAAAGGAAGCAATACACTTATATTATATGAGTACATAAAAAAAATTATCCACATGCAAATCCCAGACCCTGCTCAATGACTTTATCAACACAGCTGAGCTGTGGGGGGGGGGGGAGAAAAGGGAAGCTGCTGCAATGCGCCTGGTAAATCCCGGAGGCTGGTGGAGCAGGTGACTTGAAAGCCTATCGGGCAGTGGAGACCAAATGCCTGAGGCACAAAGACCCGGCGCTAATCAGCGCACTTGCCGCAGCGACTGGACCATCATTGATGAGATTGACTGACTTGGGTTTTGGGGGCTGAAGTCTTGAAGGGTGGAACTTGATTTGGTGCCCAAGAAAGATAACTTGAAGACGACAACAACACACTGGCAACTAACTAACTGTCAGATCTACCTTTAGTTACAGCCTGGCTAACACTTCATTAGACTGTTAGGCTGAGCACTAACTAATTAATCCACTCTCCTAAGTCCGTCTCCCCCGACTACGGTACCTACTAGACTAGCCTGTTCTACCTAAATTCACCACCACCACCACCTCAAATCACCACTCCCACCACCATCTAACTACCACCGAACCCCTCATCTGGTGAAAAAGAGGCTGGTTCCTTGGCTATATTTATCTATCCTGCCTTTGACATTCGTTCTGCACTCGTGTCTCCTCGCCCTCCTTTCCTCGACTCTCCTCCCTTTTTCTCTTTCTGTACGGCCTCTTTTGGGTTCTCGTCTCCCAAATTCAACTTTCGACCGTCTTTCCGCTCTTTCCCCTTACACAAATCCTCTGAGACAATTTTCGGGTCCTCTTCCCCGTTCCCTTGCACCCTGCGTCTGCTTGTTGCACTTAAATCGTCACATTTCCCGGCTCAGCTCCTGCTGGCCCTGAACGGAGCCTCCTCGGAGCTTCCTTGTCTGCTGCACTCATGCAGTCCACCTCCAGCACCTCTCGCTCTCAGCAGCGAAGTCCCTCCGCCCAACATTTCCCCTCCGGTTCAGGAAGCAGTGTCGAGTCCACTATGGCCTCTGCGCCCCGCAGCTCGTCTAGCTCAACACGTTCTCAATCCTCATCGAAAACTGTGGTGGTAAGTTGCGCCGCTGCTGGTCACCGCCCCTTATTATTGCTCCACAAATGTTCCGGTCTGACCTCGTGGTGCTGATGATCCCGTCAGCCCGAAAGACAGATCAACCAAATTGAGAAAAGTGTCACGCATCTATTAGTGGCCACGAAACAACTGCTCGAAACCTTGACACAATGGTCCCGGCGACAGGCATCGGAAAATGAGGTCTCCGATGTCTACGTGCGGTTGGGCTACGAATTCAACCTGGCTTGTCGCGCATTCAATGCTATCGGAGTCGACACCTCAGATCTTGGCCCTGTACCAGACCTCCTCCGCACCATCCTCGAAGATACCCTTAGTCAAGATGCATCTCCACAAGCCCTCGATCGCTACCTCCCGCGCATTCGTGATATAATTATCAATCTCCTACATGGCCTCAAAAAGAAGCAAGCTCGGTTACGGTCTCGGCAGCAAAAGGAGGAAAGCAGACCTCTGCCCGGTCGACAGGCAAGTGCTGGGAGTGCTGCAGCTACGCAGGCGGCCATGAACCAGGCTTATGAGGAAACTGCGTCTACGGTGACCTCCCCGAAGCGATCAACCCGTCGCTACGGAAGTAATGGATCTGCGGAGGATGCCGCGGCGCGAACATCATCAAGTATTGGTGCGGAGGCGCGAGGCTCAAGCTTTTCCGAACGCGAGGCCTCCAGAAGAGAGACACAGAGTATCTTGTCTCAATCCTCTCACACAGACGGCGCAACACCCTCGAAGGAAAAAGCTCCATCCACTGCGACCTCGTATCCCGCGCCACCTCCCCCTCCCAAGCAGGACGATGCACTGGGTGCTTTGCAGAGGAGCGGTGAATTGGAGCGCCGTGCGTCTCGACGATTTTCTGCATATCAGATACAAAAGCACTTGGGCGGCTCTTCAAATGGAGTTCCCGTACTTCCGTCTCAAAATTCCCCCATTCCAAACCGTGGTCGAGATGTGCGTGAATCTCTCAACGCTGTGCGCTTGCGGGGATCTGTTCATGGACGACAAAGATCGACAAACCGGTTGACAGACCTAAAAGGCGCCGCGGCGCAGACACCTTCAAAGGTACCCAGTATCGAAGAGGAGCGCCCAAATTCCCACGCAGAAACTCGTGCGCAGTCACCCGTGGAAGCCGCTGCAACCACTAAAGACACGGCTGCGGTACGCCCTGAGGACGACGTAGCAGATTCTTTGGTGACTGGACGACAGCCAGAACTCCCTCAACCTCCAGATGAACCAGCCCTCGCCGAGGCATTTGAGCCGACAAAGGAACCGACAGGACCAGCTCTACCTGGAACTCCCAAATCAGAACGACGCCCGCCGTCTGCCACTACCGCCACCCCGCCGCAATCGTCTCAATATTCTCCAGAACAGCAAACTCCCGGCAAGGAGCTCACACTGTTTCTGCAATACAGGAGTAAAATCAAGAAATTTGTCCTTCCTGAAGGCTATTCTGGCCTGACCATTGGGCGCCTTCAGTTGGCTTTCATCGAGAAGTTTGCCTGGAATACTCACAACAATGGAGTCGACCTACCGGAGATTTATATCCAGGATCCCGTTTCTGGCGTACGCCACGAACTGGAGGACCTGAGTGACGTCAAGGACCGATCTGTTTTGGTGCTCAATGTTGACATTCTGGATGAAGTCAAGAAGCATTTTGATGATGAGTTTGGTGGAGTACGTCGTCTGATTGAAGGCGTCAAGGGCGCTCTTGAAGGTCAAGAGAGCATGATGCAGCGTGTTTCCGAGCGCCAGCTGGAGGCGGCGAAAGAAATGGCTCGCTTAGCCGCCGCACCTCCCGCGCCTAGCCTAGCCACCTCGAATCTCGGGGAGAGCAATAAGGGCCCTATCACAGGAAGCGACAGCCAAGTTGCAGAACTTCAGAGCTTAAGACGCGACCTCGCCGTTTTACGCCAAACGTATTCCAACTTCTCGTCAGACATTGCCAGCTCCATGAACGCGATTCGTACCAAAGCAGGCAGCCTGAAGACTGCCGCTGCCGATGTTTCCGTACCTTCCTATGAAGGAGATGCTGGTCGCGTGCGCGTGAATGCTGGCAAGAAGGAGCTTGCTGAAGAGTCAGAACGTCTCGTGGCCCGGGTAGACGATCTTCAGGATCTCGTTGAGGATCTTCGCAAGGATGTGGTGAGCCGTGGTGTTCGTCCCCTCCCAAGGCAACTCGAGACTGTCAGCAAGGACATCAGTGCCGTCACCAAGGAGATCAAGAAGATGCAAGAATTCCTCAAGCGGGAGAAGCCTGTGTGGACGAAAATCTGGGAGAAGGAACTTCAGCTGGTTTGCGAGGAACGGGATCAGCTTACTATGCAAGAAGATCTCGCAGCTGATCTTCAAGACGATTTGGAAAAGGCTGCTCAGACTTTCGCACTTGTTGAGCAGGCGACTAAGCAGCAATCGATGCAGAATGCTACCGGTGGCCCCACGCTGCGTCATACTTCGCGCAATGTGGTGATTGATCCGGCAGTCGACCCAGTGAAAGCCAAAGACAGCGTTCTTGGAGAGGTGCGTGCTCTGCAACCTAACCATGAGTCTCGGTTAGAAGCAATTGAGAGAGCAGAGAAGGCTCGCCAGAAAGAGCTTGAGACTCGTCGAGTTGGCAAGTTCCAAAAAGAACTCGGTGCATTTGTTGAGGAGGGCAAGCTGAAGAAGAGTGGAGGTGTAGAAGAGGCTGAAAGACTCCGTCGCACTAAAGATGAACGTATTCGCAAGGAAGTCTGGGAGAGACAACAGGCGCGCGCAGCCGAGTTGGCAAAAGCTGAAGCTGAAGAAGCGGCAGCGCAAGCGGAAGCAAGTGAGCAGCAGCCTGAGGAAGATGCTGAAACGAAGTCCGACACAGAAAGTCAGGAACAAGCTGCTGCGGAGGAGGTAGCAGCCACGGAGGGGACCTTTCTTCAAGAAAAGAATTCCGCTTCTGAAGACGACGACGACGAGGCGGACGAGGAGCAGAAAGAACCGAGCTCGGAGGTTGAGAAGAACAACGAGAGTGACAAGCAGGAGGAAGCTATCAAAGATGCTCATCGTCCCGATTCTGGCCCCTAGGAACTAGCGCTGGTTGGCCAGCCTGCGGCCAACATAATCAGCTGCATTTTCGTTCTTTTCATCATATACATCCTACACTTTGCTTGACTAACTTGGATTGCACTCTTTTTGACGTCTCCTTTGTGTTGTTTGACCCATACCTGCACCCTCACTATCATACCTTTCCCTTTGCCTATTTTGATTGACTCGTCTCGCTTGGCTCCGCCCACTGATTGCTGCATATTCGAGAAACCTTGCGTGTTCGTGTATTGATACCCTGCCAGCTTGTGGCGCGTTATGAACATTGATGATACAGGGGAGGATTGGTCTTTCTTGGTTTACATTGCTCCGCCAGCCTCTGAACGATGGATCAAGTGTTAGAGTAGCCATTGCATTTTGTACATTCTTAGAGAAATGATGGCATTTTGAATGTTTCTAATTGCAGAGCATACACTGGACAAACCATCGTGATTGTCTTGCCAAGTGCAGGATACTCATATGCTCATGCCTACCCGTATTCTTGAAACCGGCAATCGATGACATATCCATGATGCAGCCCAAGTGGTCCGAAACAGTCAACCCGTTCCCCATCTATCGATGAACAGCTTTGCCACTCACTGCCTTGAACTAGCAAGTGTAAAATGCACCCGTGACTGCTAGTTCCGGGCCGAACCTTAAGATAAGCCGGCTAGCTCGTTGAGGTTAGGTAAGACTGCAGCCATCCTTGTTCGCTACGCCGCAAATATTGTAAATTCATCGTCGAGTCTACCTACTGGAGACCTACACTCTTGGATGAAACACAATATCACAACTACCGGGCTTTGTGATGCTATATCACACTGCTCCAACGAATGTTGGCTGATGAACACCAGATGGCCAATGCAACCTGGATCCGGTATTCCACCATAGCGTGGAATCATCAGCCAGAAGCCAAGTTCATGCTGTCTTCAAACCCCTCGAAAGAGGGAAACTGCTCTCTGGCTTACAGTCACTCACCTTGCAAAGGATTGAAGGACTCTATTATCGCTGCATCATTCAGTCATAAGAACCACGCGGGAGAATATATCTGCTGTTAGTGTTGAGCTCAACATGGAGTCGAGACATATGGAAAATGTATTCAATAAGAATTCACCATGTTTTTTGCAAAAACATGGGACCACCACATGCTAACTCTTCTGACTTACATAATATTCTCTTCTTCAACAAAGGGGATCAGTCACACCTTGAAAGGGATTTCGTCTCTGCTTTTGTAACCTCAGTCTAAGGAGAATCAATGACATGAGCGGCCCCTGGCATCCAAGACAGGAAATCCGGCAGACCTCATAATTATAATGCGGATGATAACTAGCTTAAGGGCTCTGTCAGGGGCTATGCAAGTTGCAGATCACGAGGTTATCATTTGACGAAGATCATGCAAGGGCTCATTGTACACCATAGTGTCGTTCCAAGGGCTTACGCAAGTGGCTTCACAAGAATGTACATCATTGGAAGTTTCAGATTCATCCTACAACACAGTTTGTTCCTGCTCAAATTTCCCGGTCAGATAGATTGATACAAGTATATCAGATGTCTTCTTTCGCACTCGGTCGATGAACGCACTCTTTCCTTTGGGAATTCACAATGGAGGATAAAGCCTACCCAGTCGCTCAAGAGGAAGAGAAGCAAGATCCCCTCGTGCAATACAGCCAGTCTACGGTCATCATCGACTTCGAATCAAACGAACATCCGCACAATTGGCCAAGCTTTCGAAAATGGGTGGTCTTGTTGACTCTAATCCCCCCAACTTTCCTGATGCCGTTGTCATCCACAATCATTGCGCCAGCTGTAGACACAATCTCGACTGATTTGGATGTCACTTCCACGTTAACAGGTCCATTGGCAGTGTCACTGTTCTTGGTTACCTATAGTATAGGGCCTCTGCTATTAGGTCCCCTCAGTGAGCTCGTGGGGCGTGTACCTGTTCTACAAGGAGGAAATACATTCTTTCTTATCTTTAATCTGGCTGGCGGATTTGCACGGAGCTTTCCCCAGTTGCTTGCCTTCCGATTGCTGAGCGGACTTGGTGCAAGCGCAACTCTGGCGGTATCTCCTCTTTTTCCCTTTTCCATCTTAACAGGGGCACACATCCACTAACAGCGTGAGCCAGGTTGGGTCAAGCACAATAGGCGACTGCTTTCGTCCCGAGGAGCGCGGTCTCAGCATTGCACTTCTAAACATGGGCCCGGTTTTGGGATCCTGTCTTGGTCCGATAGCCGGGGCTTATATCACCGACTACACGAGCTGGCGATGGGCGTTCCATGCTACTTCCATCTTTGCTGCTGTCACCATCCTGATTGGGATCTGTCTAGCCAAAGAGACGTATGCACCGGTCCTGCTTCGACGCAAGAAGGATAATTTGCAGTCTGCACCACAACATAAAGAAGCAATGCTCCGCACTCGCTTTGACATCGACGACTCCAATAAGCCCGATAATGAGACCCTCGTTCACCTCTACCAACGCACCCTCCTCCGCTCCATTCACTTGCTTCTTACCCAACCCATTGTTCAGGCATTAGCTCTTTATTATGGCTACCTCTACGGTCTGGTCTACCTTGTTCTCTCGACTTTCTCGACTTTGTGGACCACGCAATATCACATGTCCACCAGCCGGGGCAGTCTCAACTATTTTGCCCCATGCATCGGCTACTTTCTGGGTGCACAGACCTGTGCTGTTGTTGCCGATAAGATCTACTGTTTTTTGAAAGGGCGCCAACAACAGCAACAGCTGCAGCAACAGCAGGGTCCGCCTGCCCCCACCGCCACTTCGGACGGCTTTGAAGATACACACACTGCCAACCAGAATGGCATAAAGCGTAACCCCGAATTCCGCCTCCCGCTCATGATTCCTGCCAGTCTTCTCATCCCAGCCGGTCTGTTCCTTTACGGCTGGACCGCCGAGGCTCATACACACTGGATCTTTCCAGATCTCGGGATTGCCTTACCCTTAATGGGCGCGACCATTATCTTTCAATGCACAAATGCCTACCTCCTCGAGACTTACAGTGTCTACGCGGCCAGCGCCAATGGTGGTGTATACATCTTGCGGGGACTTACGGGCTTCGGATTCCCATTGTTTAGTCCGCCCATGTACCGCGCGCTGGGGTATGGTTGGGGGAATTCTGTTCTAGCATTCACGGCGCTGGTCATCGGGTGTCCTATTCCCTGGTTTCTGTGGAGGTATGGCGAGGCATTGAGACGGAAAAGCAGCTGGGCAGATCAATAATGATCTCCGTTGACGATCCCATTCGATGATGCTCGATCGGGTAAGTGATGGAGTTCGATTGCACATGATGTATAATTAGACCTGTTCCCTGTCATATATACGTGTTCGATGAGAGTGGAGGTATACTACTATTGATCTGATACATTGATTACGTGCAATAGTTAGTCAAGCAATAGGAAGGGGCATCCCCGAATGCCCAACCATCCCATTATCATCATGGATCATGTTGAGATAGCATTTTCTCCCGAGCAACAGCGAGCCCTTCCAACTGCTACCAACCCTCTGGTTTTATCTTCACCTTGCGCGGCCACGGAAAGTTCAAGATGACGATTTCAGGAACGAGACCAACCCCTCCCTGCCACCCCTTTTTCGTAATGAGACACGCAGCGAACGCGGCTCTCCGCCATCCCTGGGCAAGGCACATACCAGGGAGGCCTCCACGTGATGACGAGCCTCTACATACATGCAGCCAAGATGACTGCCTGTTGTGAATCGTACTGTACGGTGTGAGATACACATATGCTCCCAAGGAAGGGCCTGTGCTACAGGGCGTCTCATCGAAGCAAATCTCCTCGATCCAGCCAAATCAACTGCACTGAAAGCTGATCCCGTACCCCTTGCAGTTCGAAGCCTCACAACCTCGAAGACTCGTCGTACTCGACAGCTTCTTGTGCGGACAAAATAATCGCAGCCATTGCCTTCGCACATTCAACTGACAGACGGCATCCTATCAACACCTGGAGGTCAGATATATCCACCATTGTGGCTTATTTGAATGGACCGTGCCAAGGAGGCAAATATGTATGTCGAAGCAGATCATGTCGGACGGCCTCAGGGGGATGTCAACCACGCAAGCATCTGCCTAATATGACCGCCCTGGTATGATTGAGAGCAACGATGATCAACGCTTCTCGACTCTACGTCAACCTTGTCCAAACCAAGAGCCCGTCGATGGCTTGCACTTCCGCCGGGTGGCGCTTCCCCGGACAAAGCTGACGAAGCCACCATGCAAGGGGCATATTCAGTCGCTGGCTACACGCTAGGTGCGATTACATCATTGGCAATAGACGATTGCATAGACTTTCAATGCTGCATCAGAACATTTTCTTTTCTCCCGCTCTCATTACGTACATTGAAAATCCTAAGTCGGCCAAAGCCCTTGATGGATGCTTTACCTACAGTTCTCAAGGATGATCGGCACGAAATTTAGTGGGTATACCTATAACCTAGCTTACGTTGACTGGAACCAAATGGATACAAAACCCTGGGAATTACTTATTTCTGATGCCGACCTCTGTGAGTATCGGCGTAGCAAAGAGCCGAAAAACAAAATCTTAGCAACACCAGCAATCATGGGCCCTGCGTATGTGGAACTGCAGACAACATCGTTACCCTTACCTTCGTCAGACTGACTTCCAGACTCAAGTCTTACCACGGCTCCCATCTCCTGGCAAGAGATCAAAGACATTGCGCCTATCGCTCGCCAAGGAGCGGCAGAAGTAAGAGTTGCCCTCAAACCAGTAGGACGGGAAGGTTGACCGCGACAAGCAACTGTTGCATATCTGGACGAGACAAAGATATCGTATTGACCCCGAGGCGCTCTGGGGAGATGAAGTACGTTATTCGCCCTTCGTCGGTGGTGTGCTTACTTGCTTACTGGTTAGATCGAGTACACTTTGATCAATGTTGATGCAAAAGCATCCAAGGCCACGCTGCTTTTGAGCCAGGAGAATGTGCTGCGCCAATATGAGAAGCGTTGCGCAAAAGAAACTGAGTAAGAACATGGAATCCCCTCCCAAGGGGGGCGAGAAGTCTACCAGACTGATGACTTCCAGCGAACCGTGGAATACGGTCTCTTTTCAGCCAGAATGGGGTCGGTATATGATTGAGGCAACTCCAGCGAAGCCATACGGAGAAGAGATTACGGCACTACTGAAGGTGGAAAACAATATGCGGCTACGGCAAGTCACAATCTGCGGTTGCCTGACCAAGCTCTAATTTGATCATCTGAGTGTAGGCGAGATCTAATTCGACAGTGTCTACTACCGAATCAGCATCCTGTGACTCTCAGTGTCTTGCCTGGTCTGGGCACACAGGGCCTGTTCACAGCCTTAGAGCCGGACGCAAGATTTTCAGGAAATGCTCCAGATGGTCGAGTCTACCATCCAAGTACGCGCTATATCATGGCGACAGAGAACTTGACTACTCGGCGGCAAGGACGGTTCGAATGTCAGATTCCGGTATTCCGAGACGAATTGACTGAGCGACCGTTCTACGACACGAACGTGTCGTACGAGTATTCATCGCAGCAGTTGCCTCCAGCAGACCCGAAAGAGGGACACATACATCTTGATTGCCCCGAGCTTGGGATGGGATGCTGTTGCATCCAAGTCACAATGCAAGCGCCAAATGAGCCTGAAGCTCGATGGCTGCACGATCAGCTCATGGTTTTGGGGCCGCTTATGTTGGCATTGACCGCTGCAACACCTGTCTACAAAGGCTATTTGGTAGACACAGATACGCGCTGGGGATATATCTCTGCTTGCTTGGATGACCGCACAACAGAGGAGCTGGCCACAACCGTAAGTGAGATCCTTACCACATGCCATTAAGTTACTGACTGCGGCAGCCACCTCGTTATTCCTGGAATCGTACATATATCTCATCGGAGAAGCCACTAGATGTGGAAGACAAGACATCCTCGCAACCGATTGACGAAAGTCTCAAGCAGGGCCTGCTAGATGGCGGGATGGATGAGTCTCTGGCTCACCACTTCGCAAGCGTTCTTTCTCGTGATCCTATCATTGTGAGTCGGGAAGACATCGAACAATTCGACCCCAGCGATACGGGTCTCTTTGATATGCTCTACAATAGTGTATGGCAACATGTCCGGCTCAAGCCCCCATTGTGCGACTCCGGACCCGGCTGGCGAGTTGAATTCCGGCCCATGGAGGTTCAACTGACAGACCATGACAATGCTGCACTGTCCATATTCATATACCTTCTCTCGCGCGCCATCACCGCGTTTCACCTGAACTTCTACATCCCCATCGACAAATTGGGTGACTCCATGGAGCGAGCCCAGAAGCGCAATGCAGCGCTTGACGAGCGGATCTGGTTCCGTCGTACGGGTTGGTCTGCAGTAAAGCAACAGCCACATACGTGTGAGACATGCACGTCCAACTGCTGGACGAAACAGAAGATAGGCACGTTGAGGGACTCGGAGAAGGCTGGTTGTGATTCATCAGCGCAGTACGCTCTGTTATCCACGGATCAGATCGTCAACGGCGAGAACCCGGAGGTTCCATCTGGGTTTCCTGGCTTGATCAACATTGTATGGGCATACCTGCAGTACATAGACGCCCCATTGCGAGAGAGAAAGCGACTGAAGCCGTATCTGGATGTGATAAGTAAACGAGCCAGTGGAGAGCTCCCTACCCCGGCGCAGTGGATGAGGTCGGTTGTCATGACACATCCAGAGTACCGGAGAGACAGTCGGGTTGGGGAGAAGATTCGGTTTGATCTATTGCAAGAGATCATAAGCAAGGGCGAGTGATTCGTTGCTTAGCATGTGCTCGAATAGAAATAGATATATCAGTTGATTCGTGATTGCCGATGCACTACGTTCCGATCCGATGGCTGAGAATATCTTTATGCCAAAAACTCATATTCCTGTCACCTTTGTGAGAGGTTGCGTGAACCAGAGCATCAAGGTCCAACCACTGGCTCTTTGAATGTAGACAAATAAACGGTGGCAATCATGCCTTTGAGGAGCAGCTTACTCTCTCTTCAATTATCATCGATCAAGTCAACAGCGCAGTCGAAGGGATCTGAGAGATAAACCATTAATATAGGGACAGTGTCTCGAACCGCCTCGAACTGAGATGACGCAGGTCTCGCATTTGAGAAGTGAATAACACCAGGCACACAGATCTTACTTTGCGTGCCAACAACCTTTTTCTTTACTGCGCGTCGGTGTTTCTCTGTAACCTTCTCTGATCGCCAGTTTTCATCCGTATCCTCATCTACCTTGATCGATTTATCAGCCCTAAACATCATATCAACTCTGTCACGTCTCGTCGCACCGACTCAAGCTTGATATCACTATCAAGATGCCCCCCATAACAGTCAGTCAGGAAGAGCAGCCCCACGATGAATTTCTCCAAGAACGCTTTGGGAAGCTGTTCGACATCAGCAACGAGGCGCTTGTCGAGCTCGCCCTCAGCGTCCGTAGCAAGTACATCACGAACACCCAGGCCACTGCCAAAGTCCTCGAGCACTGGATCGGCACCTACAACCTCATCCACGTCATCGGATTTAGCGACGGGCTCAAGTACGTGATCCGCGTACCTGCAAGCGCCCGCCACGGGCAGATGTCCGAGGCGGCGCAGCGAGCCCTGGTCAGCCAGGCGCGGATGATGCGATTCATCAAGAAACGAACCATGATCCCGATGGCGGACGTCTTCGACTTCGACGCCGGATTCGCCAACCCGCTCAAGACGCCCTACATCGTGCTGAGCTACATCCCCGGACGCATGGTGGCGGAGGCGTGGTTCGACCGGTCCGGCCCCGTGCAGCTCGAAGCGAAACGGCTGCGGATTCTGGACAGTGTGGCCGAGGCGATGGCGCAGCTGCGCGGGTTCCAGTTCGACCAGATCGGGTCGCTCGACGTGGCCGACGAGCGGATGGGCCCGCTCAACCCGATGGCGCCCTGCTACGGCTGGGAGGAGAACTACCAGGACGACGGCGGCCACGTCTTCCACGTGCAGCAGTGCGGGCCCTTCTCGTCCTCGGCCGCGTACCTGCGCCACCGGCTGCAGCGCGTCACGCAGTGGACGGAGACGGCCAGCGATCGGGGCTGCCGCGTGCTGCTCGACCTGATGATCGACTGCCTGCCGCGCTCGACCCGCCGCCGCAGCGACCCCCACGAGTCGTTCGTGCTCAGCGTCCCCGACCTCAGCGCCAAGAACGTGCTCGTCGACGAGCAGGGGGCCGTCACCGGCTTCGTCGACTGGGACGGCGCCCACACCATGCCGCGCTACCTGGGCTACGCCAGCTTCCCCGGCTGGATCACCACCGACCTCAACCCGCTGCACTTCATCTGGTCCGAGGACCACGAAGAACCCCCCGAGCTGCTGAAGCAGTACCGGCTGCTGTACAACCGCAAGATGCAGGCCCTGCTGCGTGGCTCCGGCGACGCCAAGTTCGTCCACAAGTCCCATATCTACGAGGCGATGCACCTGGCCGTCTGCACCCTACGTCCGCGCCTGGAGATCGTCACTACCCTCGTCGCGAAGGCGTTCCCGACCGACACTGAGGTAGCGATGAATCTGATCATGTTGGCGGGGGAGGGCAGATTGTCGACGCGTGACAAGGATCAGTTGACCAGAGGGTTCCAGCTGTTGTTCTCCGTCTCGGACTGACTTGCTGGGGGGGGTGGAAAACGATATGGAGGGAATGCAAGATATTCTATGAAGGTGGCCAGCATGTATCTGACAGGACTTCTGGGTGGTATGTCCCCGACTTCATGTGAAATAGCATGGCTCTTATTGATCAATGCAATGCAATGTGACATCAAGGGATTTCCATGTCACGGGTTCGGAATGTAACCAAAACCCCCTCGGCTTCCCCAATTCGATATGATGTCAACTTGCAACGTTAAATAAACCTCCCTCCCAAACTTCTGCAGCAATGCTGACGCTAACTATATTCCTCGCACTGCTGCCTCTTCTGGCTATATACATCTGGCAATGGCTTCGATATCTGCGATTCCACCAGCATGCCTCCTGGCCACAGCTTCCCCCTTCCCTGGTCTGGGGACACATGAAAGCACTAAACGAGTTCGTTAGTCGCGGGGAACGGCGCAGACATATCGGTATATTACCCCCTTTCTGCAACCCATAGTATCTACTTAATCTAACTAACGCAGACCATGTGTTCGGAGAGGTGCAGCAATCCCTGGGCAATCCGCCGCTGTATCTCCTCGACCTCCGCCCGGTGGTGGGCGTCCTGGGGATAGTCTGCTCCCATGAAGTCGCCGAGCAAGTCTCTCGAAGCACCAAGGGCTTTCCCTACAGTATGCGCAAATCCCCCACCATGAAACCACTGGAGCCGTTACTGGGGCCCCATTCCGTGATTACCGCCGAGGTTTGTGCCCCCCCCACCCCCAATTCTCGTGGCTGGGATCGATCGACCCACTGATCCCATACATTTTATCCCATGCTCTCAGGGCGAGCAGTGGAAAGCGTTGCGCAAGCGATACAATCCGGGCTTTGCGCCGCAGCATCTCCTCACGCTGCTACCGTGCATCATCGACAAGGCACGGATCTTCATCCAGTGTCTGGACGAGTACGCGCGGACCGGGGAGGAGTTTTCCCTCGAGGACCGCTGCACCAGTTTGACGCTCGATATTATCGGTAGTGTCGTCTAATTTGGAACCTCTCCCATCTGGAAAATGTCTAATGCGTTGTGCATTGCTTCTAGGGGCCGCAACAATGGACACCGACTTGCACGCCCAACTGCCCACTCACCAACAAAGCCAACTCGCCCGCCTCTACCGTCAGCTACTAGCCAGCTACCGCCGCGACAGCAACGTCAGCAGGTTCCGCCTCACCTGGCTTCTCGCCCCGTTCATCCTCCTCCGCCGCAGGTATCTCGTCCGACAGATCGACGCCCTCCTGCAAGCCCACATCGAGACGAAGTTCACCGAGCTTCGAACCACGACCACGACCACAGCAACGACCGACAAGAAACCCTCTTCCTCACGAAGTGTCCTCGCCCTCAGCCTCCACGACACCGACCACCTCACCCCGCAGACCATCCGCGAAACCGCCGACCAGCTCAAATCCTTCCTGTTCGCCGGCCACGACACCACCAGCATCCTCCTGCAGTGGACCTTCTACGAACTCAGCCGCACCCCCCGCGTGCTGAAAGCGGTCCGTCGCGAGCTCGACGCCATCTTCGGGAAGGAGACCGCCTCCTCCCCGACTAAAGTGGCGGAGATGCTGCGCGCCGGAGGCGATGAGTATCTCTCGCCGATGACGTATACCGCTGCGGTCATCAAGGAAGTCCTCCGGTTACATCCGCCCTCCGGTTCGGCGCGGTATATGCCCCCAGGGACGGGGTTCACGGTGACCCTTCCCGACGGGCGGACGATGTGTCTGGATGGGGTGGTTATCTACAACTGTGCGACGCTGGTGCAGCGCGACGAGGCGGCTTACGGGCCGACGAAGGATGAGTTCTGGCCGGAGCGGTGGGTGGAGGGGAGCGCGGATGGTGATGATGATGCTGGCAATGCGGAGCAGATTCCCGTCAGTGCGTGGCGGCCATTCGAGCGTGGGCCCCGCAACTGTATCGGACAGGGGTTGGTGAATATCGAGGTCCGAGTCATTCTGGCCTGCACTGTTCGGCGCTTCGATTTCGAGAAGGTCGGCCTGGGGGCGGTTGCGAGGGATGCTGGAGGTCAGCCGGTGCTTGATGCGAAGGGGCAGTTTGAGGTACTGGAGGAATTGTTTAATGTGAGTCCTTCCTTCTTCTTGCTTTTGCTTGTTGGTGCTGGGTGTGTGTATGGTGTATGGGATATACTGGTTAACGCGAAGTTCTCTAGACGATGCAGGTTACTGCTAAACCGGTGGATGGAACGAGAATGAAGGTTAGGTTTGCCTCTGGAGAGTAAGGGGGGTGTTGTTGGGAAGTAGTTTGTCAGAGGGAACATAGCAAGAGGAGTGATTTATACCCAGTTCAATGCAGTTGAAGGCTGAAGGTAGAAATCATGCAGTAATGGACGGGGTATAACTTATGACGGCCCCTGACTTGAATAAACTTATTTAGGCTACTGGCCTATTGACTTCGCTGCTCTCGGAATGTTCATGTGGGAAAATCAACGTACCCCAGTGCACTACCCGCTGAAGATGCTCCCATGGCAAGTGCTGTGCTGGCATGGAAATATTGTGAGACAGTCCCTGGGGGGAGGGTGCGTGCGGGCATATAAAGGCAGCCAAAACCCAGTCCGTGCTATGGCCAGAGCCTGGGTTAGACACACCTGCCAGTACTCGTGACAGAGGCTCATTATGAGCATCCCTAGAACTGTGAGGAATAGCCACTTGCCATAGCCGGCGTCAGCAATGGGTCCCACCGCCACCGAAATGGCAAACATGAGAATGAGAAAAGCTGCCGTCGTGATGATATCTTTGATTGAGTCCCTCAGCTCCGTCGCGGAAGCTTGTTTGTCGTTTGTTCTGTTTTGATCTGCAAGTTACTTGGGAACAAACGCCCCGTCGGGTAACTGACATGATCTTGTCATATGGTTCCTTGAATCTCGGAGATACGTGATTTTTATAGATATCTCTCTCCTGAGCTTGAGCCTTCTTGAACTGACCATGCTTCTTCTCCCCCCCTCAGCTGCCATTCCACCCACTACCTACACAGAAGCCTCCGCCTACAACCGGACATTCGGTGCCAACCCTCGATGAAATAACAACACTGAGCCGGCTTGGGACTCGATCGTTCCTTGTGAGGAGCCGGACTCCATAATCCTTGAATACCTCAAAAAACGTGCTAATTATCTTGTCACCCCTACACCGGGCGGGGGGGGGGGCTGGAACAGTGGGTCAGGGCACAGTGCTATCGATATCCCACCGCTGATAGCGACCAAATCTACTACACCTTATCGGCGATCCATCATTTGCATCGCCTGGTATTGGTATGCTTGTCTTGGCCTTTGGGGTGTTGCAATTCGGAATCAGCTAGTGTCAAGACAGAACAAAGGCTGACACGATCCAAAGGGGTCGGTCCACCAGAACTACTACGGAGCCATATCTGCAGATTCGGACGACGAGCACAAGCAACACGGCACTGCTTCGCATATGCGACATGGTTTCGATTATCAACGCCAGAGCTTGATGTGTGCAGCGGATGCTACGCTAGAGTCTGTGGACGCCCGGCTGAGTGGTGTTACTGGATGGGGCAATGAGCGAGTTTGTCGTGACTATGCCGCCTTGATGGAGTGGGCTGAAGAGCGCTGAGTGAATAATCTGACAGGCTTCTCTGATCATGGTCTGGGGAGTCAGGGGTAACAAGGGAGATGAACAGACATGGTTATTTCCCATCAGGGTGTTTGACCAGTTGCAACAACATCAACAACAACATCAAGCGATGGAAAGAGACTGAACAGCTTGTGAGACGATGAACAAACGATAATGCGAAACGGACTGACCACAAAGTCGATATAGCTACGTTGAACACGGTTCCCATTTCAATATTCTCACAGCAGGTGGGGATATTGGACCAGCTGCAGAGTGGGCCTGCACGGCAAGTAACCCGACAGCTTCACATCGAACACAGCAATCTCAGTTTTGACGACCTCACGACTATAATTAGGACTTTAAGGCCTTGAAGAAATTACATCACCGTACTGTTGGCCTGCGTGGCCCATTCGCTTGCCAACAGGTCTATTTTGCTGCCTTGCCTCTTCCCAAGTCTCTCCCAGCCACCTTATTTTATACTACGCCTGCCGAAATCCTTTATCGCTGATAAGAATCGCGGTTGCACGAAGGTATGCACGCTTGTCACTCCCGGTCATTGATCTTTTCTCCAGGGCGTTGTGGCTGACATCCCCAGTCACTCTGGTCGCAATCTTAACTCCCATGTTGTTTGCACCCCTCCTGGCCAGCGTCGTATGGCCATCCTTTGCCGATTTCGTCACCGCAGGCAATGTCTCGACACCCGACATCACGCAACCCGATCAGATCATACAGCGCAATGCTCTGATTGAGTCATACCTGGGACATCGGCCCATACGAGGGGTCCGAAAGATGAGCGATGATGAAGGCGAGAAGTTCTTTTTGGATTATTGGCAATTTGACGACGACGAGAATTACTATACGATCGGCAACTCGTCCAACACCTCCGATGAGTTGACGTCGCCAGCAAGGCGTTCTGAGAACCTACGAACGACGGAGGAAGTCGACTTTCAACCACAGACGTATCCCTTCAACCCCTCGTACTCGAGTGGTCTTGAAGACGAGGGGCGCGGCTGGGGGGTGGATTTCTCACCGCTTCTTCGGCGGGACTTCCGTTGTCCGAGCGACACCTCCAACTGCACATCGATCGACCGGCCCGACAGCTGCTGCAGCACGGATGATACGTGCGTCCTGGTCAAGGACACCGGGTCCGGGGATGTGGGCTGTTGTCCGAAGGGCAAGACCTGCTCGGGCACCATCGGCTCATGTTCCGAGGGGTACTCCAGCTGCCCGTCATCCATGGGCGGAGGGTGCTGCATTCCAGGCTATGAATGCGTTACTGGTGGCTGTAAGTTGACTCCATTCATAAACCCCGGGCAAGACTCATGTCAATCTCGTGCGTAGGTATGCGGGTCTTTACCATCACGGTGACCGTGAGCTCGACCGTTATGCTGTCAACCTCCACACAGACAGTTGCCGCGACCACCAACACGCTATCCACGGGGGACCTGATCCCCCCCGCGCGGCCTACGAGTGTGTCCACGGCCACGAGCTCCAGCACCAGCAAGACTACCAGCACCGCCACTGTGTCAGTCTGTCCGACGGGGTTTTATGCCTGTTCGGCATATTACCAGGGCGGGTGCTGCCGGACGGGTCGTGATTGCGACACCACATCCTGTCCGGCGACGCCCTCGACGACTATCGCCAGTGATGGAGTCACCATTGTGGTCCCGGTGACCACGGCGACAGGAACCGCCACAACTGCACCCAGCAGCAGTAGCAGCAGTGCGGGCCGATGCGCGAGTGGGTGGTTTAGTTGCGCCGATACAGTTGGGGGTGGCTGCTGTCCGACGGGATACCGGTGCGGCTCCAGCTGTACGGCAGTCTCGACGGCCACGGAGACCGTCTCGAAGGAGCAACCGACGAGTGGAAGTCAGAAGAGAGGGGTGTCAAGAGGGATGGCGGGAGTGAGCATTGTAGTTGCAGTTGTTGTTACGGTTCTAAGCATGACTTGATGGATTTTTTTTATAGTTTTGTTATAACGAAAGATAGGAGATCACGGACGGTTAAATGAAAGGCAAGCCGACAGTCAATGCGGCAAAAGGTAAAAGTAATCGATTGCTCGCGGATAAGCGATTCATTCGGTTCAACTTTGACAGGCGAAAAGCCCCGTGGGGCTTTGGAGCACGTGGGGCGTTGTTGCTTTACCGGATCGGGAGCAATTCCGGTGAAGACTCACTGAGGAGACCCTCCGACCCTCTCCGATGCCGCCGCCCTCAAGTTCTCCTCCTCCTCCTCCTCCTCCTCCTTCTCCTCTTTCAACTTGGCCCACTCCACTCAACAACCCCATTTGCTTCTTTTCGCTTTTTCTTCCTCTTGCATTTCCATTTCGTTCTGAAGTTGTGTCGTTGTATTTTCCTCTTCCTCCTTTCAATTGTGTTCATTTCTCCAAATCAGTCATCAGAATGGCCAGCCAAAACCAACAGAAGCCCCTGCCCTTCCAGTACCAGTTCATTGCTGGTGCCGTGGCTGGTGTGTCCGAGGTACGCATCGCGTGATCCCATCAATTGACTCCGAAACAACATGGAAGCTAACAGTGATGATAGATTCTGGTCATGTACGATGCACATGCACCCTCCAATGTTTGCAATGACTAACAAGCATTAACCCCAGGTACCCACTTGACGTGGTCAAGACCCGAGTGTAAGCTTCCCCAGCACCTTTTCCGACTCCATTATCATCCAGCCCCCCAACAGAACACCCTCGGACTAACACACCATAACCTTCATGATAGTCAACTCCAGACCGGTGCCCCCACCGCCGGCCAAGACCACTACAATGGCATGTTCGACTGCCTGCGCAAGATCGTGAAGAACGAAGGGTAAACAACCCCCTCCTCCTCATCCTCCTCCCTCCGCAACCCCACACCACACCACACCACACCGCACCACACAGACCCGGCCCACAAACTGACACCACCCTTCCTTTATCGCACCAGCTTCTCCCGCCTGTACCGCGGCATCTCCGCGCCGATCCTGATGGAAGCGCCCAAGCGCGCGACCAAGTTCGCCGCCAACGACAGCTGGGGCAGCTTCTACCGCAACCTGTTCGGGGCGGCGGAGCAGACGCAGTCGCTGGCGATCCTGACGGGTGCGACGGCGGGGGCGACGGAGTCGTTCGTGGTGGTCCCCTTCGAGCTGGTCAAGATCCGGCTGCAGGACCGCGCGTCGGCGGGCAAGTACAACGGGATGCTGGACGTGGTGCGCAAGATCGTCGCGGCCGAGGGACCGTTGGCGCTGTACAACGGCCTCGAGTCCACGCTGTGGCGCCACATCCTCTGGAACTCGGGTTACTTCGGCTGCATCTTCCAGGTGCGCGCGCAGCTCCCCCCCGTCGAGCCCGGCAACAAGGCCCAGCAGACCCGCAACGACCTCATCGCCGGTACCGTCGGCGGCACCGCCGGCACCATCCTCAACACTCCGATGGACGTCGTCAAGAGCCGCATCCAGAACACCGACAAGATCCCCGGCCAGGTCCCCAAGTACAACTGGGCCTGGCCCGCCGTCGGCACCGTCATGAAGGAGGAGGGCTTCGCCGCCCTCTATAAGGGCTTCATCCCCAAGGTCCTGCGGCTGGGCCCCGGCGGTGGTATCCTCTTGGTCGTGTTCACCGGCGTGATGGATTTCTTCCGCAAGATGCGGGATGAGTAGATTCCCCCGCCCGGAAGAGCTTTCTGATTTTTGTTGCAAAGTTTGGTTTCGTTTTATGATCATCATGATAGAAGAGGGGAAAAAGAGCAAGAGAGAGAAGAGCAAGGATAGAAGAGACGGAGAGAATCATTTTTTCATCCGATCGGATCTTACCTTGTCGCAAAAGATTCATCCTCGGTTGTTGTTGTCGTTGTCGTTGTTATGAATAAGTTTCTTGTATCTGCATGCTGAATATGATCATCCGTTGATATGATACCACACCAGAGAACAGAGCCATATGTAAAGCTGCGGTTCACCAGCAAACCACACCCTACACACACTCCCTTTCATGACCTATCTAGCAAATCAATGTATTACTTACAAATGTGTTTACAAATAGCGAGTCAGTGAAAGAGAGGCGTAAACACACCTACCAACGCAGTGAGTACATACATAGGTAGACTATCGATCCGCTACACTACAGCACAGGTACAGACAGTACAGTACGAACAGTACCTACGGTACAGTACACTAACTTGACCTCCCATCGACGCTACGACTTTTTCGGACGCGGCGGCGGTGGCGGCAGTAAGGCTGGGGGATGGGCATGGAGGAACCGCACGCACGTGCAAGGATGTTCACCCCTCTCGTCCATTCACAGCACCTAGGGACCTACAGTAGTTCGTCCACCGCACATTGGACAGAGTCGGGTCCCCAGTTCGGATCCATCTTCCACCTTCAAGGTTCCAAGTTCGACAGCCGCCACCCCTCCTTCTCGTATGTGCATACCCCATGTGCATCTGCCCTACATGACGATGTACCTATCATCTACCGCTAGGGGTCGAGGCCGACCGTCGATCATTACAAGCTTACCGGCTTGGTGGCTTGGTGGCTTGGTGGCTTGGTGAGCACGATGGCTTACTGGCTAGAAAAAATATCAATGGAGTCCAGTAGTGGATGCAAATATCGTTATATAGATGACTTATATTATGAAGGTCGAAAACAATCAGCCGTTACTGACGCCCGAGAATGGGTTTCCGTGCGTTAAGACACAACAACAACAACAACAACAACAACAACAACAACAAAGCAAAATTATCAGGGCGTAGCAAGCGTATAATTAAAATGGGAAAAGGGTATCGATGTAGAACGAGCAGGGAGAGAAAGAGAGCCAAAGAAACAACGTATATGTCAAAGTAAAATCAGAATCCGACGACAGTCACCATTAAGGAGAGGGTGTCCAAGGCCATAACAAAATGAACTCGCATAAACAACATCAATCAAAAGCCAGTCAAAACCGAGAAATAAATGCAGCAGAGAGCGAGGAACCAAAACACACCCTTGAGAACCGACGACAATAAGGTCATTTCAGCCATTAGCCTCGACGAATTCTGTCAAAAACTTCCGCGTACGCCGGTCACCCATTTGACGCCTTTGTGTACAACAAGGTCATGACATGCAATCGTTGAAGATAGGAAAGGCAGAGCTCAACTGAAGCGTGAACTAAATTTAGTTCATTTCCATTGCGTATTCGTCCTCTTCCTTGAAGCTCATGCCAGCATGGCCCGAGGTATTCCAATACTGGGCTTGTCCAGGGCCCCCGCCATTGCTGCTGCTGCCACTGTTGAAAGGTGGGCTCAGGCTTTGGGGGCTCAATGTTCCGTTGCCGCTCACAGAATCCCCAGCAATGTTGGTGTGCTTGGGCACCCGGAGACCACTGCCTGGCGCTCGGCTGTAGGCAAAGGAGCTAGGATCATTTTTCTCTAGCGCATCGAGGATCTCGGTGCGCATGCGCTTTTCCTCCTCGGTCTGCTCAAACGGCCAAGTGCCACCCAGCTTGCTGATCAATTCTGCCAGCTCTGACTCCTGTTGGAGCTTGACGTGCAGGGCCCACATCAAGTCCCGCATCCAACCGACTGCTCCGTTGAGGATATCTCCCTTGTTGGGCCCCTTCTCTTTTTCCTCAATTGGGAGACCCATGGTGATGTTACCAGCAGTAGCACGGCGCCCGTTACCTCCAGCGAGCAGGGATGTTGCAGCGTTCGCGGTAGCTCCAGTACCAGACATGGCAGTGTTGTTGACAAGCTGCTTGCGAACCTTGTCATCCTCCAGGCGGTGCTGGGGTACCAAATGGGACAGATCCTGGATGCGTTCATTGATGTTGTCTCGCCGCCGGCGCTCGACGAGATTGTGAGAGGCTCTGCGACGGCGCCGCTTCGCCTCTTGCGATTCTAAGTCCTGGGCGGACCCTGGCATATGCGTATCGACCTTGGCCGGCAAGGAAGCATGCTTGCCCGATTTGAGGATCTCCGAAATCCCCGCATGGTGAGATGGATGGCCGGGGGATGAGATGGGTGATTCCACATAGGAATGTGCACTTCCGGGCGTACCATCCCACTGGTTGGATAGCGTCTTCTGGTGCCGATGCTGAAGGCCAGTCCGAATGGGCTGGGTAGGGAAGCTCCCGGACTCCGGCGTCCCAAGGGTCAAAGCGCCCAGCGCTGGGGTCTTCGGGGTCATCGGGCTGCGCCCGTCATACGAGGCCCGGTCGAGCGCTTGTATGCTTGGCCGAGCCTTGGCATTCAGATAGCTCTGGTCAAAATGGGATCCATTGCCCTGGAGGTGAGGCGCTTGTCCTGGCTGGCCCATGCTCCGGAAGTGGTCATAATTGAAACTATGCATGAAGGGACTGTGCATGGGAGCTCCATCTGGCGTGTTGGAGTACATCTGTGACATTTGGCCAGGGTGACTCATCGAGATCCCAGCGCTAGACTGTTGCTCCTGGAGATAGTTCTGCTGGACTCCATTGTGGCCGTTGATCTCCAAATCCAGCAGCTCATCGGTATCAATCCCAGAGTTACCGAAATTAAAACTGGAGGAGAGGTTCTGTTGCGAGGAGAACGGGTATGACATGAAGCCGTTCTGCATGCTCAACTCCGAGGGGTCAACCCCTTCATTGGGGTTCCCGAATTGGTTTGACATCGAATAGCCGGAGTGCGACATTATATAATGATGTGGGTCACTGCTGTGTTCGTTAGGCTCAGTCTTGATGAGAATGCTAGTTTCCGCCATTTCCCGCGCATGGGTCCCAGCCTTCCAATCCCAGTCAATAGTGTTATCAAAGGGTGATCTTACGGTTCAAAGGCGAACCTGGTAAAGATGATAACTCGATGCTCGCCAAACCCAGATTGTCAAAAAAAAAACACTTGATCTCCGGTGGTGCAAAACAATCGTCCTAGCGGCAGGGCGAATGGTTCAGGCGGTGTTGAATAGTCCACAGGTGGTGACGTCGATTCATCAAAGGGGTTCGACAGAGCAAGATTAGCTGGAGACAATCTAATGACCTAATAAGATTCCAAGTTTCCGTCAGCCTGGTTCTTAAACAAGGAGAAGATGCCTGTGGCAATGAACCACCCTATGAGTCGAGTCGGAGAACGCCAACGGGGGTGGCTCAGACCTCGACTACAAGTATGGGGGACACTTACCAAGAAAACGGGAAATTCAGTCTAGTAAAGAAAGCCAAGCCTGGGGATGCCTCCTAGATGGACGGGGAATGCGATTGGTTTATGGCGTCCGAACGGAACGGAGGTAACGCGAGGGGGTTGTCGCGATGAACTGTAAGCGGCGCGGTGGACAGAGTACCGGGCGAAAGCAGGATTTGGAGGAGATGGACAGAATGGAAAAATGCCACTATCGTGGACGGAGGCCAGAAAAGTCCGAGGTATTTGTGCTGTCACTCGTCGAGCGCGCCGAAAGAAGAATGTCTAATAAGGTTGGCTTGGGGTAAGCGACTGGGGAAGGAAGAAAGTCAAGAGAGGAGCTGAAATGAACCAGAAAAAGAAAAGAGGACAGGGCGGCGATCAAAGGAAAAGGCTCCGTCGTTGAGTGGCCATAAGCGAGGCAAAAAAAAAATAAAATAAAGGAGACGGAGCGAAAGGCGGACAAGAGACAAGAATAGATGGATGGGGCCGCGGAGGCGACGGACTGAACCAAAATGGGGAGGGGGAGGGAGGAGGGAACCTTGAAGAGAGGGGAGGGAAGGGGGAGAATCCAAGGCCAGGCAATAAAGTGATAAGAGCGAGGTGGGAAATAGAGGTGTCAGATCAGACCAGAAATAGCCTTGTAGTCTTTGAGGGAAAGGTTGAGAGTAGAATCGCCACCGAAGAAGAGAAGTGAGATATCGTGGTACTTCAATAAATCGGGATTGATTGATGATAAGAGCGAAAGGAAAGAAGGGGGAGGGAAAGGAGGAAGAAGGAAGGAGGAGGGGAAAGAATTGGGAATTTGAGGCGGTACTTGTCCGGGGTAAGGCTAAGGAAGAGCGTAGTCCGAAAGTGGGCTGTGGAGGGGAGAGACCGAGAGGGACTGTTGCCAGGTAAAGCTGGCTGGACTCGAATGAATGGATGGATGGATGGATGGATTGAGAGACACAATCAATAGGCGCAAAGAGCGCCAGAGGCGGTGGACACCGCCCCCACTCCATTAGTGGGCGGTCAATCTCGGCAGTATATTATCTGCCTCGCTCTCTTTCCAGTGGCACTCTCTGTCCGTCGTCTCTTGTCATCCCCAGATTCTCGGATAACTCCGTTGTGGATTGTCAGGATGGGTCATTCCACCTTTGTGATCTTGGCGATGGCTACCATTCCATGCAGCTGATGGCGATGGTAAAAAATTCATTCAAAGCATTCTCTTTGCCCTCACTTTTTCCCCCCTCCTCAGCCCCTCAGCTCTCTCCTCATTACCCCTCGATAGGTAACCCCCGCGCTTCACGCGAGACGGACAGATCTTCCCGTTTCGGGGTCCGTGAGACAAGACTGGGACGGCTTGGCGATCCTACACAGTAAGAGCGCCCCACGGACATTGTCGGACCACGTTGGATCGTCGCATAGGCGCCTTATTGTTCTCCCAATAATCCGGGTTTGATGAACATTGGGCTTCCGCCTAGAGAATCTGCAGGGGCTGAGAAGCCATCACACCTGCATGCTTCTCTTCCTTCGGTCTTTCCCCGGACTCCAAGCCGGTGACGTAAATGATGGCTGATGCTCTCCAGCCGAGGGGCCTCTTTTGCCGATGTAGGTCTTGGCTCGAGTGGCCGCTCTCTTCCGCAGCAATAATGGTCCCAGGATGTGCATGTGCATATGTGTGTATGTGTGTATGTGTGTGTGTGTGTGTGTGTGCGCTTGGGCCATGACAGAAAATAAAGAGAGAGACGATATCCGCCAGGGAAAAATAGAGAACAGAAATCAGGACAGAAGAGGAAATGCGCCATGCTTACCAGGTATTGATGAAAAGGATATAGAAAGGTGATCTGCTCATAGGCGTCCTGAGCGATAATTAGTACTGGCATTAAAGACTTATCTGAGAACCCAGGTTTGATGGCAGAGGTTGGAAGGTTAAGGATGGAATAGTAATTCGATAGAGGGAAACAGATACGCACACGTGGACGATAGGATTGAGCCTCATAGGCTCCACCAACAAGGCCAGGCAGAAGGGGAAAAGCAAAAGGCTTGGAGGACAACACAGTGTTGAACAGGCAGCCTTATCACACCGCAGAAGGGGAGTTTATATGGACGAGTATCGGGGCTTTGAGGGTAAGGGCGGGGGAAGCAGGACACCTAAGGCTGTGAACACTTACATAGACCCTGTTTGAAGTCGACACTTCGACACAGTGAGGGGTTCGTGCTCAGCAACAGAGCAAAAATTGGGACCAGTGAGGAAAGAGAGATGGCTATAAAACCAGGGTCGTATCAGCTCAGCAACAGCTGGGCGATGCAGCGACTCGAGAAGGGAAATCCTAGCGTTGTCGGCCAGGAACACAATAACACAATGGTGATGGGAGAAAAAAGTAAGTTGGGAGAAGGGTATACTTTATAGCTACAGTACAAGAGCTGGCATTCCCGAGACCTAGGGCTGGCAGTGCAGAGGACAAGAAGAATATAAAGGAGATTCACGACAATATTCACTTCCTCTCATTTGCTATATCATGGCTCAGGTCATGCAGGGCGTCGATCCTCAACTCAGCGAGGCTTAACACACCACCCATGGGAATTACTTGCGTAAACCGGTTCTTCAGCCAGATAGAATGTCGCTAAAATGATTCAGGGAAAGTAAAGGGAGAATCAAAAATTAAAATATGAAGAGTATTAATTCCTCCCCGGTGACAAGCGCAACTAGGTAAAAGAAAAAAAAAACACAAACACAATAATAAAATGAAATAAAAGAAAAAAAAATAAATCACTGCATAAACTAAAACGCAGACCAAAGGATGGGGGGAAGGCCAGGGAGAGGGCGAGAGCCAATCAGGATGCAGCAGTTGGTGGGCAAGACGAAGGATATGCTATTCAAATCGCAAGATGCAGGACCTTTAAGCCCGTGAATCAGGCCAATGCGAGAGGTAAGAAGGGGGATGATGGTTGTGGTTGAAGAATCCGACTAGAAAAGGGAGGGAGGGGGAGGAGGGAGGAGGGGTGCAGTATAGAAAAGATAGTAAACTGTCAAGGAGGGTAGCACCATCCGCATAGAGGAGAATAACGTCCATCCTCGAATCCCATGAGCATCTCCCAAGTACTACTATATTTGTCACCTGTTTGCCAGAGAAGTTCAATGACTCACCCGCGTCAGCCTCTGCTTGACGATTACTCTACTAGTCTGCCATCCTCTTCCTTCTCGTTGGGGAGGGTGTGCAGGTTATTCTCATTCACTCGTATAGTGAGTGTATCTGCCCGTTATTCGCCTAAAAGCGGGAAGGAGGTGATGAAGATGAAGCGGCGCGATTGGGGACAGGGCACCATTGCTTATCAACACCGTCGGGAGTTGTCCCGACGCTTAGGGAAGGGAAAGTCGTCTTCGATACGAGTGCAAAGTCCACTAAGAATGTATCAGATGCCAGAACCACCCATCATCATCTCCCCTCCCCCTCCTTCTGCTCTAAGCATACCGGGTCATGTACACATATAGACAGAAAGACTAAATGATCAAGGAGCGTGAGATCTCATGTTTACCTGATTACGCTTCGAGATCAAGGCCTATGACATCATGATTCATCTGAGCAAGAAATGGTTCATCGCCTGTAAGTAGGAATTCCCTGAGAATTGATAGAGAAACGAATTTTGGGACAGACGGTGGCATATCGCGGGTATCGAGGAATGGATGAATGATCTAAAGCTCCCATGTGGAAGAAAGGATCTGTGGCTTGATTCAGCAATCCCTCTACAGCTCTATTAGCTGCCTGCAAACGGCGAGCACTTTATCATTTCGGAGGATCGCTGGACACTAGCGGGATCGACGAGCTGGAGAAACCATGCCGCATTATCATGATTAGTATTGATCGCATCTTACCTCCATTGCAGGCTGCATTAGACCCGAATAGGGAACATGATTGTCTCGGTACCAGAGCCTCATCCTCCTATAGTGATCAGTGATTGTAGCCCTACTGTTTGTCAATACGCGGTCATAGGCTACCTGAGCCACGGACCGCTCTGCAGAAGGCGTTGGATTCGAGTAAAACTGCGATGACTTGCTTCCTTGGAAACCCATTGCCTCCATCCATCGCCTGTCCGAGCACGTCGGGGCTGACAGAGAGGCGGTCCGTGACACGGTGCAGCCAGCAGCCTGTAGCTTCCCGAGAAAGCGTGCATCTGCCTATGCCATCTGATAGGGTGTGGTGGGATCCTTAGTTCTGCAACTCCCTGCTCACTTGGGCATTTGACATTCTAATGAAGTCTAACGCATGGATCTTTACACTAATTTGGTGCCATTCATGGATGGAATTAATTTCCCCCTTCCCCTTCCCCCCTTCCCCCCACCCTCTCCTCTTTTTTAATGCAACACCACCACCACCACCACCCCGGGTATTCATATGTACCCCCCAAGACCCTCTCAATCATCCGACTTCGCTTTTGTAACGGAATTTAAGACATAGATGGCTCATTTTTGCTGCGATCCTTGCCCTTTAGGATGCTGTTACAATCTGGAATACGGGTGACTCCCTCAGGAATGTGGAG